CAAGATAGCCATGCACAATCTCAATGCTTAAAGCACCATGTAATGTATAATCACAATATAGGTACAAACATTTGTTTAGAGACTGTTTGAAGTTACAATGGCACGGAAAAAAACGACCTATCTTTCGCACTTCCGACAGTTGCAGCATCCCCATGGTCACATGATCAAAATTCAGGCGCTTGGCATGTATTTAAGAAGGTTGCCGTGTCTCAGGGTCATGTGATCACCTTTTGTGACCTTCTGACAAACAAAGTCAATGGGGAAGCCAGATTCAATTGACAACCATGTTATTAAACAACTGTAGTGATTCACTCAATCACTTTGCAAGGAAAGTCATAAGATGGGGGAAAACTCACTTAACAACTGTCTTGCGTAACAACAGAAATGTTGGGCTCAGTTGTGGTTGTAAGTCAAGGACTACCTATATATGCTTTTGGATTTGGCAATCTGCCTTATAAAGAAGTTATAAGACCTACAGAATCTACAAGAGCAAACTGATACAGTAGTCCTCAACTTAACAACCATTTGTTTAACCACTGTGCAGTGTTATAAAACTGCTGAAAAAGGTGCTTACAACCGGTCTTCACATGAACATTGCCTGTGTCCTCATGGTCATAAGATCAAAATTCAGGCACTTGGCAAAAGCCATGTATTTAAGAAAGTTGTAGGGTCCCAGAGTTATGCGATCACCCTTTGTGACCTTTTCAGAGAGCTTCCAACAAGCAAAGTCAGTGGGCAAACCAGGTTTGTTTAATGACTGTGATTTGCCTAAGGACAAGAAAAAAGGTACCGTGTTTCCCCAAAAGTAAGACGTACCCTGAAAATAAGCCCTAACTTGATTTTTGGGGTGGGCCTAATATAAGTCCTACCCAAAAATTAAGCCCTAGTTTAGGGGCGAAGTGTATGTGTAAAAATCAAGCTGGGGTGGGGCAATGGAGCTGCTCCACACGCCCTGCACCCGTTTACCTTAGGACCACTGCAGGCCTCCCACGCCCTGACACCTGTCGCACTGCTGCCTGAGTTCTGGGGCTGCACTCTACATGGCACATTGTCCTGCCACTCATGGTGTGAGGCTTATAAGGCCACTGCTCACACCGCAAAGCTCCTTGCACCGCTACCGCCGCTCGCATCATAGGTTTTGTCACGCCCCTCGCGCCGTTACTGTCACTGCCACTTGCAGGAGGCCGCACAGCTTCTCGCATCAATTACAGTGTGAACAGTGGTGCAAGCAGCCTGATGAGCCTTGTGCCGCAAGCGGTGGCAGTGGTGCTATGTGGCGTGCAGCCTCAGAAGAACTTGGGTAGCGGCATGACAAGTATCAGGGCGTAGGAGGCCTGGCTGCGGCAGTCCTAAGATAATCCCTCCAAAATAAGACCTGGTGCCTCTTTTGAAGGCAAAAAAAATATAAGGCCGGGTCTTATATTTTCAGAGAAACATGGTAGTAAAATTGGGTGTGACTCACTTAACTACTTTCAGTCCCAATTGTGGTCATAAGTTGAGGACTACCTGTAGTAAAATGGACAGAAGCAGAAGTCAACCTTATTATCAGGCAGACAGCATTATCTTTATTTCTGAAGGTGGGCTTAACTAACATCTTCCTCCCTTTAGCTAACTAAAAATAGCAATTGGGTGGAACTTACCACTGCCGTTTTAAGTGGTTCTCTACTTCAGACTTCCCAAATCTTCCTTACTTAGATGATTTTTTTTTACCTCTTCCTTTTTTGTAGGATTTGCAGTATCATGGGAATAAGATACATTTTTTTTCTCCTTGAGAGCAAGGTAGCATTCCAAATAATATATAACAGTGATTCTTTATTCAGAACTTTTTAAAATTCAGAATGTTTTTTCTTGCCAATCATTCAGTAAGAATTAGAGTGATGTAATTTTTTGAGACATGTCATCCCTCCAAATGTTCCACAGTTTTTGTATTTTGGTATTATATATTTCAGTGGTTCTCAACCTGTGGGTCGGGACCCCATTTGGGGTCGAACGACCATTTCACAGGGGTCGCCAAACAACGCAGTCCGCCATTTTTTTTCCCCCTTTTCCTTAGCTGTGCTACTCCCTTTTATTCTATTGGCTTTTGAAAGCCAATAGAATAGACTCTCTTGAATAGAGTCTAATTCTATTGGCTTTTAGAAGCCAATAGGAATTGTCCAGGCTGTCTCTGCTCTGCTGAGCCCGCCCAAAGTCCCATTCTGCAAACGGTGCTGCACCAGTTGAGTAGTCCTCAACTTACAACTGGTTGAGTAGTCCTCGACTTACGACCAGTTGGGGGTCGCAGCATTATAAAGGTTGAGAACCACTGATATATTTTAAATCTCACTTGCACCTTTAATTGACCTAATAGCAAATTTACTGAAACATACTCTAATCCCAATAGAAATTTTCAACTTAAGCTTTTCTGTTTTTCTATGTTCTGTTTAAAAGAACTCTTATGTTCATATTCTGTCTCGTAGATGAAAAATTGTGTGCACGCCAATAATGAACGTGTATCAGATGCCAAACTAACAACTGTGCAGTTTCATCCTACTGCTCAAGTTGTTATGACAGCTGGGCGTGATCGATCTATATCACTATTCCAGGTAAGAATGATATAAATTTTACTTTATTTTTGTCCATACAGTTACTATTAAACTGAGCAGCTTGTTCTTTGCTATCACATCTATGGGTCTGGGATGAGAGCAGTATGTGGGATAGAAGATTAAACCCAAAGACTATGTAGACAAGCAGGACTTTCTGAGTATTTACTCAGAAGCAAAAGAATTATGTCAAAGCATCATCTACTGTAGTAAGTAATAGTAACTTCATACGTATGGGAGGCTTTGAATTACACTCATTTATTTGGGGAAGATTGAATACATGAATTTTGCAGAGCTTAATGGGCTTCTTAACTTGGAAAGAAAAAGTTAGTTCATAAGAGCTAAGTATTGTATTTTGCATTTATACATCCTTAGTACACATAGGTACTGAGAGAACAGTGTTACTTTTTTCTTTAAGGTGGATGGTATCACAAATCCACAGATACAGAGCATTCACTTGGAAGACTTTCCAATTTACAAGGCACGTTTCAGTGCAGAAGGAGACCAGGTTATAGCTACTAGCATTCATAACAAGCTATTTTATATATATGACATGATGGAAGGAAAAATTATTCCTATAAATCACATCAGAGGTAATTATTTTTCATTAAGGTTCCTGAATGTAATCGTATTTTTTCTACCAAGAAGAAAAGACTAGGCAAATATTATTTGTACCTTTGTCTCTATATATCTGCTTTTATAACCTCAGCTAGATGTTCAGGTGTGTGTGTGTGTATGTGTGTGTGTGTGTGTATGGATGGATGTATATGGGTGTATATTTGTTATACATGTCCAAAATGGAAATTTGATTGTCTCTATCTATCTATCTGAATCAAACTTTCATTTTCGGATATGTACAACAAACTTTTACTTTCGTCTGAGTACTTTCACTTTTACCTGAGAATATATCTCCCTAAAATCTAGGGGATTGCATTGCTAAATTGAATATAGATTTTGAAAATAAATTCTGTATATGGAAGAACTATATCTTACGTGTTTGCTTTGAATTAAAGGCTTAGAGGAGAAGATTGTCAAACAATTTGAAGTATCTCCAGATGGAACATTCCTGCTGCTTAGTGGAACATCTGGTTATCTTCATTTGATTACAATGAAGGTAAAGTTTCTACTTAAATGTTTAGTTTGGGATAACATAGTTCAGATGGCAATATGTTACCATTTAATTAATACTAAGACATATTCATACACTTGTTAATCCATACAATATTTTATTGCAAGTTTGCTGAATCCAATCCATAGCTCTTTAATTTTATCTTTTATACTTTATGTTATAAGAGTTTTCATTAAATACATTATAAATGAGTAAACTAATATTACAAAAGAAAAAAAAACAAGCTAAAGATGGCATCATAGTAAAGTAGGGTAACAATAACAAAACACACTAAAGGAAATTATATAATCTTTATGTTGGGATATTCTCATTTCTCCCAAAATAGAGAATAATTCAGTAAGATTTAGGCTGTTTTGCTTAATAGTCTTATAAATAAAGGTGATTACAGGCATTATGTGTCCATTTTAGACTAAAGAATTTATTGGAAGCATGAAAATAAATGGAAAGGCTATTGCATCATCATTTTCTCCAGATGGCAGCAGAATCTACACACATTCTGGTAATGTTTCCAGACTTGATGACATGCAGATTTAATATTTGTAGTTTGGTGACAGAAATATTTTTTAGTTTGACTTCTGTTGTTGCTGTTGTATTAATTGTCCCCATTTCAAAACCACAGATAACAGTGATCATTAAAACATAAAATAGTACAGTAATATTTGATTTAGTGCAGTGGTTCCCAACCTTTTCTATACCCCGCACCCCTAGAACGCTTCTGATATATTCTTGCACCCCTTACAAAAGTTTGAAATAACGGCAACGAATTATGCATATACACAATAATTTTGAAAACCCAAGTTTTTGCACCCCCTAGAATATCATCTCGCACTCCCAGGGGGTGCAAGCACCCCTGGTTTAGTGGTTAAAGCACCAGACTAGAAAGTAGAAGATCATCACGTCTAATTCTGCCTTAGGCGTGAAAACTGGCTGAGTGACCTTGGGCCAGTCGCTCTAAGCCCAACTCACCTCACAGGATGATGGTTGTGGGGAAAATAGAAGGAAAAAAGACCATTAGATATGTTCACTGCTTTGAGTTGTTTATAAAAATAATAAAGATGGGAGATAAAATAAATGTTTGTAACTCAATACAGCCTCCCAGTAGCAAAAAAATACCTTTTGTTTTGCTCTATATAGTTTATAATCCATATCTTCTATTAAAAATAACACAAAATAACACAAGAACAATTTTAATTATTGTCAAAAGATTCACAGTCTAATCACTTCTTTGTTTTCTAAATCAAGCATGTGATGTTTAAATTCTTATAAACATTGTTTTCAATAACGTAACTTACCTGTCAGATGAGGGTGAAGTCTTCGTATGGGATGTGAAAAGCAGGCGTTGTCTGAACAAGTTTACTGATGAAGGTTGTCTGCATGGTACTTCTATTGCAGTCTCTAAAAACAGCCAATATATTGCATGTGGGTAAGTAAGTAAAAGGAAAAACAAGTACTAATATGTCCTTAAATATTGAGCATCTATCTGCACAAGGGGAGAGACTGAATTACATACACATTAAACCATGGCTTGCTAAATCATGATTTACAAGCCAAAATATCTGCATGTTCGTGAAGCATTATCTTTGCAGTATATAATCCAGATTAGATTTGTAGAAGTATTTCGGTGCCAGCTCTGGATTAGTCCACTCCATGTAAAGAAAACTTCATTTGGAAGTAATTGCTTGGACTATTCATTCAGAGGTATGACTTACAAAATGCCCTCCAAACCGCTGATGAAAGCAATTTGTCCTCTTAAAACGGGTCTTCAAACTTAGCCCTTTTATGACTTGTGGACTTCAACTCCCAGAATTCCTTAACTAGGCATGCTGGCTGAGGAATTCTGGGAGTTGAAGTCCACAAGTCATAAAAGGGCCAAGTTTGAAGACTCCTGTCTTAAAAAATCATTAAGATTGCTTCAAGGATCAAGGACAGCTCTGGGGTAGTATTGTCTGTTCATTTCCACATATGTAACTTTTCCCTTTAAAAATTAAGGGCTACCAAGGTCAAACATAATCATGGAGGTAGTTAACCAGCACATCTTATCCACAGCTTGAGTCAGACTAGCTGAAATCTGTAGGGTTTCTGAATAGATAACATATCTCATAATTTAAGGATACTTGTAATAATTTTGATATTCTTTGAGTCAAATCTGAATGTTTTTAAATATCCCTTTTTTCCCCAGATGAAAATTTAGTATTAAGAATAGTTTTTGTCTTGCAGTGGTCATATTTGTCAATTTTGTGAAATTATTTCCTAAAAATATGTGTACAAGGCTTTGAAGTCAATATCAACCTGAACTATTTCGTCCAGAATTTATAAAAATGTAAAAGTTATCTCTTCATTAGCATGTAATATAATTGTCCCCTCATTTATATGTAGTATAATTGAAGAGAACCTTTGGGATTTGTTTTTGTTAAACATTTGAATATGTGCTACAATATAAGTAGCTGATCTGTTTCTAAGTCATTAACATTTCTCTTTCTAGTTCTAATTCCGGAGTTGTCAATGTGTATGCCCATGATGATTGCATCAGAGAAACACGTCCTAAGCCTCTTAAGGCTATAATGAACTTGGTCACGCCTTCTACATCGTTAGCATTCAACCCAACCACTGAAATACTAGCAATGGCTTCTAATAAAATGGATGATGCATTGAAACTGGTAAGCACATTTTTATTAATGTTGTGCTGAAACTTTCATTTCCTCCATTTTGCACGTATTTGCATGGAAGAGGGCAAACCAAAATAAAAAGTGAAGGGGAATTTCGAGCAACAGAACAGATTGCATTTTATTAAACATGAAAAGTTGTAAAACAATGCAGAATCCTTTATTTACACAAAATACTTATGTAACCCTACAACTATTTGTGATTACACAGGTATTTTAAATGTCAAAAAGAAAAATATCTATAATAAACACTTGATTCCTTTATGAAAACTTGTTTTCAGAATTGTTCCACCCTTTGCAGAAGAAACAAACAAATATTTATTTTGTAAGGATTACAAATATTAGCATAAAGCATCTATTCAGAGAAAGATTAATTCAGTAATTCATTGATAATAAAATAATACTAAAAGCCTGTGTCTTATTTTTTAAAGGGAGGCAGTTTTAGTACTTACAATTGTTATCTGAGAAAAAGGTCTGGCTGAAATTTTATATATTACTCAAAAATCTGAAGACTTCACTGGCTCTGCCTGAATAAAATATTAGCTATTTTATTGCTGCATCAAAATTAAATATCCTATAATAAATGAAGAAGTCTACCTAATGGAAAACGTGAATACATTTAAAACAATGCAACAGTTTGTATTATTTTTAACAATTTTATTCCTTTTTTTACAGGTCCATATTCCTTCATTTACAGTATTCTCAAATTTTCCTGTGTTCAGGAGGAAGTTGTTCTATTTAGCTTACTGTATGGATTTCTCACCAAGAAGTGGATATTTTTCCATAGCAAACAACAAAGGCAAAGCTTTATTGTATAGGTATGTAATAAATAATTGACTAATGATATAACTTCTGGCATACTTTTAATACTGCTTTTCATAGTATAATAAAAATATAGTATACAGTGGGAGTGTTGTCAATATTTGGCACATTTAAGTTCTATATTTTAAATCAAGTATTAAAAACAACTAAAAATTAATGGAAAGAATCAAGTTAATGAATAGTATTTCCAGATCGTTCATAAGCATGACTAGGGTGTACTTAAGCCTAATAAAATCAGTGTACCTTAACCCTTAAGTAATATAATAATACAATATCTCTGATTAGAAGTCATCTCCAGAAAAGCCATATCAGATCATATGTGTCATGGATAGATGATAATAGTTCTTAAGCTCTCTAATATTCATTCTGTTTTACTTTATTCAGGTTGAAACACTACTCTGATTTCTAAAATGACTACTTTAAAATTAGGTAACTATTAAATGTTTTATCTATATATAACAAAAATGTAGGATTCGAGAAATTGTACAAAAGCATGATAGAGGTTAAAGAATACCAAATTTGAAAGAGTTTATATAATTAAGAATTAAAATAATAAAATAACATGAGTTACCTTTTTTCTTTGTATTCTCGTTTTTTTTTTTCTTTAATGAGGATAAATACCTTTAAGGAAACAGAAAATAAACAGTACTATAAGTATGCTTCAAGCTGAATTGGATTTCTCTACAGATATGTAGTTTTCTCGACAGTAACATGGATGTGGCTTGCTATTCCCTCCAATGGGATTTTTTTTAAAAATTCCCATTATTACTTACAAGTAGTATCTCTCAATCAGAGATACTAGGTTTGCTATCTGAGTACTAATCAACCCAGACCATGTTTAGCTTTCTGGTATCAGCCAAGGACAATTAAATGTTGCCACCTAGCTTGGGTTTTATAGAATTAAATAATTATTAATAAAGATGCCATTGGTATTGAATATACTTTGCAGAAGGAATGCTTACATCTGTCAACTATAGTTTGAGATGGCTCAGCCTCAATCATTCCTTCACAAAATGTATTGATCTCATCACTTAAAACTGCAACATCTTAAGAGTGAGGTATATAAATTTAAACACAAGGGTATTTACTAATGTTATTTATGATCTTAGGTTGAGTATGACATTCTCTTAAAATTCGGGGGGGGGGATGATTTGGGATGGAAGTTGGTGTATTCTACTAAGCCATTTCATGGCCTACAATATTTTTTAAATAATCACAATTAATCTGTCCTTTTGGTTGAAACTTTTTGAGGAAATTGGGGAATAACACCCAACAGTCTCTTAGTGAATCCTGCTATGCTTCCTTATACATGTAAATACAGCATAAGAAATTAATTCTTCATCGTTATCTCAAAATTTGGGGAACTAAAGGACAATTTTCATTGGATCAATTGAATTTAATACTATGAAAAATAATTCTGGCTGAAAAATTGTATTTTGCTTACCAGTTATATTAGCAGCACTTTTCCTAATGGGCCACCTTCAGCTGTACAAATCTTATTTTGGGAAGAAATATTAAATATGAATGATTAAACGTCTGTATTTGTCTTTAAAATCACATTTGTGTTCATATGTCTGTGTGTCCTATTGTTTTCTCTAATCACATTTGCTTTTTCTTATTGGTTTGTTTTTTCTTTTTAATTAAACACATTAAAATTAAATTTAAAAACTACACTTCCCTACTTATCAATGAATGTTATTAAAATAAATTCCCCTGTAGATTAAAAGTTCTTTAATCTCTCCGAGTATTTAATCAGTGTAAGAAACATTGGAGTTGTCATCAACTATTCCTCTATACAGGGGGGACTAGAATAGAATAATAGAACATATTCCTTACATGTGTGATTAGCAGAAGATCATACTTTATTTTATAAACCTTATTTGATTTATATAAGCAAGGTTTTCAAAGCAAAACCTCATAATGCAAATGTTATCAGTAAACTTCTAATAAACTAAACTGTTGTGAAGATGTGCATATTAATGTGGCTCTACCAAGATTTTATATGAGCTTAAACTTCAAAAAAGAACAGTTAAATATCTGTGAACATTAGCTTGTGAGGACTTTTCTTATGACTAAGTCTAGAATTTCATTTCACAGCTTAATGTGCTAATTTTCTTAATTTTAGAATGTTGATTTTCTATAACTTTTATAAAAAGATGTAATATAGCCATGTTAGTTAATTATTTTAATGTCTTGCTGATTCACGTAGGCAATGAAAAGATTTCTGTGGAATGAAATCTAATAAAAATTAGTTGACTGACTTTTCATTTTTTTTTCTTTTATACAGATCCTGCAGCCTGTGGTTCTAAGAAAATAGATTTAATTTTATTGCCTTTTTTAAAAAAAAATTCATCACCAATACATGTTTTTGATAATTTACAAACTGGCATTCTTTTTTTTACATTGCATTATCAATATATTTAAAAGAAAATAGGTGAAATTATGACATTATACCCATACTGGGCAATTGCATGGGTATACATGGTGGAAGTAAATTGAACAATGGAGTAGATTCAGTCCTGCTTTTGGCACATAGGATATTCAGCATGCTTTATGCTGGACATGCTTTATATTTGTTTGATTTTTTTGTCCCACCTTTATTACTTTATAAATAAGGCAAAGTGGCGAATATATATACTGTACTTCCTCCTATTTTTCCCACAAAAGCAGCCACCTTGTGAGATGGGTTGAGCAGAATGACTGTCCCAAAGTCACCAGCCAGTTTTCTTGTCTAAGGCAGGACTAGAACTCAGAGTCATCTGGTTTCTAGGCCAGCACTTTAACCACTTCACCAAACTGGTTCTCATTTGCTTGATTTTCAGGTAAATATTTAAATGTATTTAAATAATAGAGAGAAATAAAAAAAATACTGGAGCTTGCCAGTCTTACTAAAAAATAAACTAATACAAATTCAGAATAAGTAACCGTTATGTAGAATTTCAGAATATGCATTTACATAAGTACTGGTTGCCACTAAAACAACACATTCAAGGAAATATGTATTGTGCATCCCTTCTATACAGTTTCATGCAAGTAGCATATTAACAGGACAATTTTTAACATTTTATGTGTAAGATAATATTTTAGAATAATTAAAAGAAGCACTTTATATACAGAAAAAGGCCAACCAATGTTCTAGCTTCACGATTGTTTGCAGTGGTTTGGATGCAAATTATTATAGCTCCTACTAATAACTATACAGGTAGTTCTAAATTTATGACTATAATTGGTTTGATTGATTTACTGTAATAGTCATGAGGCACTCATGTAACCAGACCTGATTTTACTACATTTTTCACAGCAACTGTTAAGCAAGAAACATTTGTACATGGAAACACATTCTTTTGAATGGGAGCTTTTCATTGGAAATTGGCAAAAAAATGCTGAAAACCAGCAAATAACATCACAAATTGCAGCCATGTGACCACAAGATGCTGCAAACAATTATAAAGGCATGCTTGTGGCCAAGTGTCCAAAATGTGGTCATGTGACAATGGGAGCATGGTATGACATTTTACAATGGTCAGAAGTGACCTGTAAAGCACACATTCAGATTCTTAACAACCATTTTGAATGGTCATTAATCAACAGGTCAAAAGTTAAAAACTAGTTACAGGAGGGTAAGCAATTAAAAATTGAAAAAAGTATTTATTGCATGTACATTCTTTGAAAGTTGAAAATTGTCTACGTAGATATTTTCCCCCAATTTTAATTTCCTACAGGAATAGCTTTATGGGATTGATTGTTGTCAATCTTTCAAGGTACCGAGATCAGGAAGCACATTTCACAATAAATACTGGAACTTTATTGGTATAGGCTCAGTAATAGAATCTTGAAACCCTAACAGCATTTTCTCCTCCCTCACATGAAACCTGAGTCTTTACACAATGTGTCCAAGAGATTATTTGAGCCTTATCATTTGTTCTCAAGTGAGAACTTTGATTTTTTTATAGGATCCATTTTATTTGTTTTCTTGGATATCCAATATGGGAAAACCATTCCGAGCACTCATCTGATCTTTGTAGGTGCACAGACTCATCACTGTATTTGAATATTCTTTCAAAATCCTTCGTTGTTACCTTTTCAGTTGCCAGCCTATGGCATGATTGCTGTTTCTTTACGTTGATAGGATCCTAAAAAATAGAAGATATCCACCACTCTGTTTTCATTGTCAGTTCTAAGTCTGATCTGTTATCAGTAGTTTGGTCTTCTTTATATTTAGTCTTAGACCCATTTTTTCACTATGTTCCTTGGCTTTCATTACAGAGTAGGCTTTCAACTATAGAGAGTAGTGTCATAAGTGTAGCACTAGTTACTGTTGTTTTTTCCTCCAGTTTTATAATCATACTCCTTTCTCCCTTAATATTGAGCATCCCTCAATATATATATTCACAACATAAGTTGAATAAATAAGAAAAGAGCTTTGACTCACTTCTCTGCCAATCTGGAGCAAGCTTGTTTACAATATTCTGTCTAGACAGTGGCTTCCTGTGCTTTGTATAAATTTCACATGAGAGGGAGTTACTCCGAGATTCCCATTTTCTCAAGGACAGCCCACAGCTTAATATGGTCAACACAGTTAAAGCCTTTCCTTCATAATCATCGAAGCATATATTTTTATTCTTCAACTTTGTTGTTTACTAGTATGTGTAAACTATAATGTCTCTCATTCCTTAGCTTTTTCTAAAATTGGCTTGATTACCTTTCTAAGTATGATTCTAAGAATCATTAATGTTGATTCTTCTGGGTTGCCTATCTCTGCTCATTGCTGTTTTTCTGTTCTTCACACTGTGTGCTGCCCAGAGATGTTTTGAATTTGATTACAGATCCAACAAATTAATCTGCATTTCCTTTTACATGGTGGGCTCTAATCTACATTGAATGATCCTAAGCATTATTTTATCAGCAAGTGAAAATGGGGATATTTTACAAGACCAACCTCTCAATTTTTTTCTATTCCCTCTAGTCACGTTCAAAGTTCTCAACCTGTGGGTCGGGACCCCATTTGGGGTCGAACGACCATTTCACGGGGGTCGCCAAACAACGCAGTCCGCCATTTTTTTTCTCCTTTTCCTTAGCTGTGCTACTCCCTTTTATTCTATTGGCTTTCGAAAGCCAATAGGAATTGTCCAGGCTGTCTCTGCCCTGTTGAGCCCGCCAAAAGTCCCATTCTGCAAACGGTGCTGCACCAGTTGAGTAGTCCTCAACTTACGACCGGTTGGGGGTCGCAGCATTAAAAAGGTAGAGAACCACTGGACTATATGAAGCCAGTCTCGTTTTGAAGGTGCCAAACTGCACTCTAGGCAAGATGGCTTTCTCCATCATCCTAGAGCTCTAAAACCTGCCGGAGACCACTGTCTTAACGATTTCCTCATGGGAAGCCACTGCATGGAGTACTTGGGGCAATCCTGGTCCTCTCCTTCCAGAGAAGAATTCCAAAGAGTGGTTGCATTCACTGGCTCCTCTTTCTGCCCTGGTCATCAGCTCTGCTCTTGTGGAGCTCTTCAATTCACCAATGCTTCTCCGTGTGCTTTCTATAATCTTCACACAATGGGAAGAGAACAGTGGGAACTGTCATTATAAGAATGTCTAATTCCGTGATGTTAGATGTAGTTACTACAGAGAAATAATGATAGGCTAAATATTTATTAGTGAATATCTAATTATTGGACTCCATCTTATTTATTTATACAATTACCTTAAACACTACCATGATCTGAATAATTCCTTTTCCCTCTTCATTAGTAAACTTTTGCCAGAAAATATTTTTTGAAATTTTATAGTAATATTTTAGTAGCTAATTTTAAAAAAAGCCTGACCTAATATTTACATCCATAAAAATACATAAACTAAAACCTAAATAATAAATCAAAAGTTTTATTATATTATTTGACAAGCATAAAATAATGCAAAACATTAAAATAACATGCTAATCTATATAATAGTAAAATAATTAGCATTTAATTGCACATGATGTCTGATGTGAACTGTGACAGCAAAGTTTAAAACTTCAGAAATAAACGCTATTGATAAATCCAATGCACCGTCATTACTTGGGATTTTACGCAAGAACACTTGTACGGGTGATATCTTCCAAAAACCCGTGTTTCCCGCCTGTGTACTCTCCGGATATACTTGATTTCGATTCCCCTAATTTTCTCTGTGGGAAATCGTGGAGTTGAAGTCAGCATACATGGGAACGGCAACAGGTTGGAAGGACTGCTCAAGAGTCGAAGTGCAAGTCCAGTTCTGCGCCATTCTGTGGCTTGAGCACGGACACCAAGGGAAGAAACTGCAAACTCGGTGGCTGCCTGGGCTCTTTCGGGGGAGGCTCGCTCGAAGCAATCATCTGCAGGATGTCACCGCCGTCCCCCCCCCCCCCACCGGACATCGGACGGAATCAATAAGCGAGAGGTAGGCCCGGATGTTCCAGTCGCGGAGGTTGTCATGGATACGCGGCGTTTCTAAGCCTCACAATCTTACAATCCCGCCCCGTTCCTGTTCTCAACCAGCTTTCAATCAGAGGATGCGCCCGCCGTCTTAGGCTCCACCCATTGTTGCCAAGGAAGTGAGGTCACATAATATGGCGGCTCGGTCCTAGCTGCGCTAAGGGGGGGGGAATCCGGGACTAGGGGGAAAATCGGCGTCCATCCTTCCCACCCGGGGTTCGCTGCCGCCCCCGAACACCTCGGGCGTCGAGAGACGGGACTAAAGGCCGCGATGGTCGCTGGTGCTCCCCTGCTCTGAGTCAGGGTCCTTACAACAGGGTTGGGTCCAATCGAGCCGCCTCGATGGAGTTGAGAGTCGGAAACCGGTACCGGCTTGGCCGAAAGATCGGGAGCGGCTCATTTGGGGACATTTACCTCGGTGAGACGGCGTTACAAGATCCGAGCGGTTTCGGGAACTCGGGGTATTGGAGGCCGTTGGGGGAGGAGGGGGCTGCGTCGGGAACCGGCTCCGGTAAGGGAAGAGGGGGGTTTTGCTGGGCCCTTTCGTCCGGGCTGTCCTACTGGATTGACTCTGCCCGGCGAGGTGACAGAGGAACGCCCAAGAGCCGCATTCAGTATGAAAGCGAGAAGCCAGCGTCGGATCCCGTAACTGGGTCCCCGGCGGCGGTAGAGCCGTGTTTACTCGAAAGTAAGACTCGCTGATATCCGTGGTCTTTCCTTGAAGCAAACGTGATTATGATTCTTCCTCTAATTCAAACTAGGGAGAAACGACAACAAGAGTTGAAGTCGTGTCCAGTAACTTCCTTTATGACCTTGGGAAGTCGCATTCTGCCCTGCTTCTCCCCCATTTCCCTCTTCCTGGTTGCGATCGGGGGTGGGGGGTGGGGGAGGGGGGAGAAATGTGGAAACAAAAAAATGTAACAGTGCCTGGGTTGAAGACTACGGGCTTCTGCCAGCCGTTCGTGGGCCGACAAAATCGTAGCTCGGGAAGCGTTAAATATTCCAGAAAGTTTCGGGTTTTTTGCAAACTAGCGTCTTTGGGGGAGGGGGGGGGAGAAGCCTAGAGTGAAAGTAAACGCTGGAAGAAATTTAGCTGGTTATTGTCAGCTTAGTCTCCTGGTTTTAATAATGCCGTAAACGTGAGCCTGAGGTCTGATACCTTACATCTTGGGTAATGAATTTTTAATACATCCAGAAAGGATGATGTGGATTTTGCTGTTGCATTTTATATGTTGTAAGCTCTTCTGGGTGTCTCCTTTCAGATTGATACACTTTATGCAAAGGTAAGCCAGAAATACCATTGACTGAAACTGATTCTGATAAACAGCTCAGAATTCAGTCATACCAAGGTTTATGACTCAATTGCAATATACATTTGAATTGATATAATGGGATTGCTCGTACTGCTGCTGTACAAATGTGTCAAAATCTGAGCTGCTTCGTTTTAAATACTTTATGGATCTTGGAGCAAATGAATCCATCCTTAAGGTCCTAATATTTTTGGTGACAACATAACCCAGTGCTTTATATCAGCGACATCCACAATGAGATGACAACACAACTACACAATGACATAATCATACGAATGCTGTGATTATGTATTTCTCGATGTCTGACACAAGTATGTAAATCATAGTATTTACATGATCATGTCATATATTTGTGTTCTCTCCTTGTGGATACCCATAGTTTGTTAAAATGAATGAATAGCATTAAATAATGTATATTCAGCTTTCTTTTTTTAGCTGTTAGAGATGAAGGACAACATGAAAATCAATGCCAATTTCAATAATTGGCATATACAGTATGCTTTATTGTACTATTATGTATTGAAGATTAATGGTGAATGCTGTGCAAATGCAGCATTCTGAGATCTTTCCATTGTTTTAACTTGGAAAGGATCATGTACATGAGAAAGCTTAATGTGGTTTCCCTTCTACATAATATATAGAATGATATATAGTTATTTCAGTGTTATAAGGTAGTACTTTTGAAGCCATTTAGAAAACTCTGCACCGGGCACAAGGAAGACCTATAATTCTCTTGCAGCTCCACCTATAATTAAAGTTGTTGTACAAGTTTAAAAACTTCATATATGTATCTTTTTTCTAATACCCCGGCCCATTAAACTATCAGACAGCAAGCAGATGTTTACCTCTACCTTATGTGAGGGACAACTACATATTTTCCTTTTGAGAATGCTATACAAGAAAAGTAGATGTTTTAGCTTATGTAGGAAATGGGTGTAGCAAAATTAAAGTAGCTGTTGGTATTTCATTTATATCTTTGTATTTCAGCTATGCATATGATCAGAATTTTTTCTGAATGCTGACGTTTGCAAAGCTACAGAGAATAGTGTAGTAGGCAATATTTTAAAGTATTTTTAAAAGATTTAAATATTCAGTTGAAATCAGGACGGATTGTCATTTCTTAGTATTTGAAGAGACTTTTTCTTAATAGCAAAGTGTTTGATATCAATGCACATTGGTATGTTTGGTAATTGTCAAGACAGGAATAGTTTACATACTAAAGTACTTGCAGCCAGAACTTTCATATAATTATGCACTTGTTTTACTTCAGTTTGAATGTACTACAGAACTGTTGCCTTCCCATTTCGAAACTTTAGAGTTAGGAAGTATGTAGTTTCAGTGAAAATGGGAGAAGTAGTCTTTAAAGTGAACTTCCTTTGTCCATTGAGTACCACTTCATATGGTATGAAAACAGTTAATAGTACATTCTGACAGCCAACTTGATGTAGTGGTTAAGGCATCAGGCTAGAAACTGTGAGACCATGGGTTTTAGTCTGATTTTAGGCACAAAGCCAGTTGGGTGATCTTGGGCCAATCACTTTTTCTCAGCCTTAGGAAAGAAGCAGTAGCAAACTTTCAAGAAAACTGCAGAAACTTGTCCAGGCACTTTCCAGAAATTTAAAAAAACAAAACAAAACACTGACTAGGAAACACACAAAATAGTACATTCTACATGAATAAAATTCTCTTAAATGACTAGGAAGTTTGAAGTAAATAGTTATTCCATCAATGTAAGATTTCCAGTTTTATTTATTTATTTATTTATTGTTTATCAGATTTATATAGTTGCCCATATCACAAGAAGTGGGCAGCATACAAAAATCAAATAAAAAGAATTATATAAATGCCACCATTATAAAAATAGAAAGCAATAATGATTAAAAATTAAAATAAACACAGACATCGAGAGAGTAAATATTGGAGCCATCATAAAATGTTACTGGATTCTTGGGACCCCCCAGCCTAGTGACATAACCAGGTCTTGAGGGATTTCTGGAATATTAACAGGGATGAAGCTAACCTGACTTCACAGGGGAAGTATGTTACATAAAGCAAGTATCACAGTGCAGAATTCCTGTCTCTTGGGATCTACTAAAAGTAAGTCCCTAGCAGATGTTATTCACAGCATGCCTTCTCTGCCAGATCTAATGGGAAAGGCTGATGTAATTAGGGGTAACTTGTCTCACGGTTCAATTTTAGTAAGCTTTTGAACCTTCTTTTAACATTCCCATATGTCATTTAGTAGGTTCATATAATATATACTACAGCGTGCTGGAGAATGGATCTCAAATGTGGCAAACATTGGTGTTCTGAGAGGCTCAGAACATTGGAGTTTTCTAGCATTTTCTTCCCACTGGAGGGACAGAGAGGATAGTGTTAGCTAAACTGCTAGCAGATGCCAGTGTTCTGAGCCTTCCAGAATGGTGGTGTTTGCCAGCGTTTTCACCAATTTGAGTACCATTTCTCCAGCTCATCAAGGGATTTTGGCGTGCTGGAGGTAAGGAAAAGGAAAAGGAGTCCCTGCAGATTTTACTCCGCTACTCATTGCCACCTCTAGGGGTTGGTGCTCATCTCTGTTTCAAGGCCATTGAGCCAATGCTGTCCAAAGACATTTCCATGGTCATGTGGCCAGCATGACTTCACAGAGTGTTGATATCTTCCCAACAAAGTGGTTCCTATTTACCAACTCGCATTTGCATGCTTTCAAATTGCTAGGTTGGCAGGAGCTGCAGTGAGGGTGGGAGCTCAGTCCCATTGCATGGCGCTCGGCTCTCAAACCACACACACCCCCCTCCCCGTGCTGGAGGAAAGGACTTCAAATCTGGCAAAAGCACTAAGAAATACCATTCTCACAATCATTCTCCCTGGTAGGCTGGGAAGAGGGCCCAGGCTTCTTGGAATCCTCAACTCTCTTCCTACCCCACCCAAATCAGGAAGCCTGGCCCCCCTTTTCTGGCCCTCCACTTAATGATCTATGCGGACATGTAATGATTGCAGCTTTGAGAGCTGGGATTGCAGTTGTTGAGCAAAGTAGTCATGTAGTGTGTCACTTAACTGATTTGTGCAGTGACTCAGATTCCAGACCCAATTGTACGGGAGGACTACCTGTATATAGTAGTAGGGATATGATTCACGCTCTCCACTCAAGCCTGAGTTTCCATTCCTGACCCCTGGTTTAGATGAGGCTCAGCTAAATTTCATATCAAGTAATATTGTGACAGTATATTTAGAATTCAGTTTGTTGTTTTTCTTTTCTTTAATGACCAGATTACAAAGAAATAATAATGCTACATGCCTACGCATTTGAGATTTATATATTCCGTTTATTTATTTGCCAGCTGAGTCCTAGCATCTTTGGGCAGTTTATAAAATGTTAAAAATCATTTTAAAACAAGAAAACAGCATAACACCCCCCCCCAAAAAAACCCCGAAGATGACAAATTTAATTATTTAATTAAGATAACAAAGAAAAGGGGGGAAGAGCCAGATCTTCAGGACCCTTCAAAACATGTAAAGTGGGAGCTATTCCATGGTTGAGGGTGGGAACCTCATTCCAGAGGGTAGACACTGCCACAGAGAAGGACACCTCTGGGATCCTGATAGATAGCATTGGTTAATTGAATGACCCTAGAGCACCCTGCCAGATTGGATCAGATGGGCAGATACTATGGGAGACACAGTTTGAATGAGAACCCAAGACTTTGTAATGTGGGATGAAATTGATTCCTGAAATGGAGAAAAAAAAAGATCAAATCCCATGATCCTGCCTATTGGAAACATAGCAATAACTCTTGTTTCTACAGCCATCTATAATCAGTCTCGTTATATATACACATTTTCCTAGCACTGAGGAATATTCTGAATTTTTTGCCAATATTTTTTTGGTACAATAGCTTTAGATTTCCAACAAATCATTTTATTGGAGCAGACCAATAATCTAGTCATGAAACTAATTTTATGTATCCAAGATGGCTTTCAACTTGTTTGTGACAACTTTTTGTACAATATGGTCAGCTTCTCTTGAAGCTGAATTTCAAAATTACCAATAGTCCTCATGGCAATTTGGACTATAATTTATATTGCTAAATGATGCAGCCCTAAAGCATGAAGTCATGTGCCCACACTGCTTAGCAACATCAGTCCTGATTGCCATCATAAGTCCAGGACCACACAACTCATGAAGTAAGGCTCTCCCATGACTGTATCATGGGAAGAGCAGGAGTCACAGGCAAACAGGCTGGTAAGCAAGAACTACAGATAGGCAGACAGGTGTCATGAAGAGAGTGCCTTGGGTGGCTGCTACAGAGGATGAATGGGTGGCTACACAATGGAGTGCAGACAGACAGGTGCCATGCGAGGGGGGACACTTAGAGCATGGATTGGCAGATGCTGCAGATTGGTGCTATGGAGTGTAGGCAGGTGAAAAAATGGCAGGAGTGAGAACAATTTGCAACAGCTAGTTGACAGTCATTCGAATTGTGATCTTGGGAATGCAATCACAGACTTTTTTTAGTCCCTCGTTCAGTGATGACATAACTGAATGGTTATTGAACAAATGGTTGTAACCCAAGGACTATCTACACTGTAATTTATTGAGATCACATGGGAATCATGAAAAAAATACTCAGTTATTTTATTTGGCTAGTATGAATTCACAAGTGTGTTGGAGTCATACAAAGTTTAGCCAAATTTGGGGTCCACTGATTTCAGTAAGAAAAAGTCAAATTGAAAGGAATGTGTGTGCCTTTGTCCCATACAATCTTTATCATTTTGTAATGCATTTTAAAAGTTTTTTTCCTCACACATTTCAAGCTCTTAAGTAATAGGATTTTAATGTATAGTTTTCATCTATTCTGGATGTCACATTTTTATTATTTATATTTTTTGTAATGGAAGAAGATGATATTTTTATGATTTCAACTGAGTTAATTTAAAAATAAAACTACTGTAATGGTTTCTAACATACATTGGTGACTTAATGTGTGATATGAACCTACCCAATTGTTACCATGGATTAGCATGATATGCAGATCCAATCATCCAAAAAAGGGAAAGTAAAACCTTGTCTGTATTCCATTTATTTTAGGCAAGAGATCAAAAATAAAAACCAAAAAAGAGTGAAAACATGGATAATATTACTGCAAACATGGAAATTATTATTGCAAACCTGAATGTGACACAAAACAGACAGAATGAAATTGAGATAGTTAATACACTGCAAAAATATTTTCTTGCTTTTATTACCCTTGACAGAAGTTTGGCCACTTTTATTACACAGTTAGAATATTACGATTAATAGAGGTCTAGTATGAAATTAATGTGCAGAACGTTGATAACAGCTATTATTGGGGCAGTTATCTTCTGGCTCTTCAGCATTAAATCTACAAAACAGGAAATATGTTCAGCTGAGTTTTTCTATTGGTTGTTATAATAATAAACTTGTAAAGCTAAAGGAAGTCTTGCTTATCTCCCACAGAGCATTTTGAAAATTATTCATTGAATGAGACCAGAGAGAAAGCTAATTGGTATTCAACTAGACTGATATTTCAGCTAACTGAATTTTCATGGGAAATGTCTACGGAATTGTATAACAAAACTTGTACCAGACAGGGATGTCCATTGTCCTCTTTGTTGTTTGTTTTAACATTAGAAATTTTGTTGATTATAATTCGTGAATCATCTAAAATAAAGGGAATAATGATTAATAAGAAAGATTATAAATTAAGAGCTTTTGCTGATGATTTGGTTGTTACTTTGTCTCAACCAACCTATTCGGTATTGGAGTTGTTACAGATTATAAATCAGTATGGGCAAGTTTCTGGTTTTAAAGTTAATAATAATAAGACTAAAATATTATCTAAAAATATGACCAACTCGGATAAGGAGATCCTAGTTAATTTGACAGGTTTTGAAAGTGTAAAAAAGGTAAAATATTTGGGGGTTTATATAACTGCTTCTAATGTAAAACTGTATAAAAACAATTATGAAATGTTATGGCTTAAAATGCAGAAGGATTTGAATGATTGGAAAAAAATGCAATTATCTTTGTTAGGGAGAATTGCTGCAGTTAAAATGAATGTTCTGCCAAAATTTATTTTCTTGTTTCAAATGATACCTATCTTAAAGAAAGAGGCAAATTTAGAAGAATGGCAGAAGGGTATTAATAGATTCATTTGGGCCGGGGAAAAACCAAGAGTTAAGCTTAAAATTATACAAGATGTTCGAGAGAGAGGAGGACTCAAGGTGCCGAATTTGAAATTGTATTATGATGCGGTGGTCTTAACGTTGATTAGTGATTGGGTTAACTTAACAAATTGACTCAGCCTTCCATCCTTCCGGGGTAGATAAAATGAGGACCCAGATTGTTGGGGGCAATGTAAATATATATATATACATTGCTTACTGGTGTACACCGCTTAGAGAGTGCTTGCACTTAAAGCGGTATATAAGTCTCATAAATAAATAAAATGGTGGATAGGGTTTTTAAGTCCCATGTTTTAAGAATTGCTTTATTGCGTGTCTGGAAGAAATATTATAGATTAAATTTTAGAATACCGTTGTGGGGAATTCCTGGGCATGCAATAGAGGGGATAAGGAAAGGAGTGAAAATGAATAGGATTTCTTACAAACAATTGCTTAAGTGGGAAGGGAATAATTGGCAATTAAAATCTATGGAGGAATTAATGCAAGAAAATATTATTTATTCTTGGTTCCAGTATAGGCAATTATTAGAAAGATGGAGTATAGATCAAAAAGTGGGTTTTACTATGGAAGATGTGAATTTGATGAAACAAATTAAAGATCAAAGTCGAACTCATATAAAAAGAGTTTATAATGCTTTAGTGGAATTGGATTCAGAAACAGAATTAGTTAAAGATTGTATGGTTAAATGGGCTCAAAATTTTGAAGAGCCGATTTTATTAGATACATGGGAGATAATTTGGGTGAGGAATGTTAAGTTTACCCAAGCTCAAAATTTACGAGAAAATTTTTACAAAATGTTTTATAGGTGGCACCTTGATCCACAAAAGATATCTCGTATGTATTCGAATGTACAGCCCAAATGTTGGAGATGTGGTTGTTTGGATGCAACGTATTATCATATTTGGTGGTCATGTAGAAATATAAAGGTTTTTTGGATTAAGATTTGGTGGAACATTCAGAAGATTTTTAATAGAAGGATAAAATTTACACCACAATTATTTTTGTTAGATATTATTGAAGACTGTGATGGCAAAGAGATTACTTTAATGTTGAATTTCATCACGGCGCCAAGGTTATTGATTGGGCAATATTGGAAGAAAGATTCCTTGCCTACTATAGAAGAATGTTTTTTTAAAGTTTCTTATTTATCAGAAATGGCAAAAATTTCGGCTTATCTGAAAGACCATTCACAAGAGAGATATATCTCGGTGTGGAAAAGATGGGTAAATTTTGTACAGAATAAATATGGGATTAGAAAATATTATTTAGCTTTTGAATAATTTATAGTTTAAAGTGGATATGGTTGGATTTGTTGTTTCTATGTATTGGAGTTAAAGTACTTTAAATTTTTTGGGGGATGTATGTATAGTTGATTGATGTTCATTTAATTTGTATGTTTTTTCTTCTTGTTTTTTTAACCCTGTATTCAGCTCTGGGAAGGAGGGGGGAGGGTCATGGGGGATGGGAGGGGGGGAGGTATTTTATTGTAAAAGTTTATAAAATTTCCAATTAAAAAAAAAACTTGTACAAGCCGTAACAAGAATTTACATGCAGTTTCATTTGAAATTTGATTCACTCTGGGAAATATTAGAACAGTTGAATCTGTCTGCACATATGGCACATTCATTATGGTTTTATACTGTACTAGATCACCTGTGACCCATTGGGTCATCCTTTGAGAGAAAAGCAATACAATATGGTGTGACCAAACAAAATAATAAATTTTAGGTTGAACATATTTCCAATACTGCCCAGATCTGTAATCATCTAAGAAGAATATCTATCCTAACTAGAAAGATTATTGTAGTGGCAAATAAATTTCCATAATAAGACAATATTTACTTACCTAAATAAACAGAATGACTACAGGTGGGGAAAAATGCAGTGAGAGTGGGAGCTACTTCTGATGTCTTATCAGCTTCTCTGTTGAATTTGTTTGTGGGAAGTTGGCAGATCACATAACTACAGAGACATTGCAGCAGCTACAACTTTGCAAATGAAATCCTTTTGAACATTCTGGAAATTGGGTCCTGGATTTTTTACGCATTTTTTCTAGGTCAGAACCTTTCTTTTTTCACCATTGAATTTCATTTCGTTAGATAGGGCCAAGTCTGTCAGGATCCTTCTGTATCTTAAGCCTATTTTCTGGAGTGTTGGCTATTCCTGCCAGCTTGGTGTCATCTGCAAATTTGATGAGTTCCCCATCTATTCCCTCATCCAGATCATTGATGAACAAGTTGAAAAGCACTGGGCCTAAAAGAGAGCCTTCGGGTACTCCACTGCATACTTCCCTCCATTTAGATGCAGTTCCATTGAGGACCACGTGCTGAGTGTGGTTGGTCAGCCAGTTATGGATCCATCTGGTGGTGATGTTGTCTGATGGATCAGATGCCTGATAGCAAAGCTCAAAACTTGTCAAAGCATTTAATTATTTTCTTTAAGGTACTGACATAGCTGCTGGAGAAGAGGTTGCCATCAAATTGGAATGTGTCAAAACCAAACATCCTCAGCTCCACATAGAGAGCAAAATTTACAAAATGATGCAAGGTGGAGGTAAGCATTTTTTTTCCCCTCATGAATCATGCAGGCACAAATATTTCACCTCTAGAAGTCTTTCAAATTGGTAAAGAAGGGTGGTGCTTATCTGAGCAGTGCTGTAATGAGAGAGTTTTCATTAACAGTACCACCTGAGCACTTGCTACCTGTATTTTCCCCACATGTCATAAATTATTATTAAAGAATGATATCTAAGCATAGGTATAAAAATCAAAGAAAAAAAGTCATGACGATGGCTTTCTTTGCTTTGTGCCAGTAGTCACTGACTTATTTTTTAAAGCTAGAAAAAAAATCTTCATAACACGTTGAAGATAGGAGAAGTAGAGAGGCTGAGCCTATTTCTTTCCATTCTTGAAATATTCAGTTAAATTAAGCTGTATGTTGCCTGCTACAAGTTTTTGCATATTCTGTATGCAGATAAATAAGGACTTGAAGAACACTATACAAAAGGACTAAATAAAAAGCTGCCATGAACATTCCTTTGAATACTTAAATATTTTGGCACTCTTTTTTCTTACGTTCCAGTTTGACAGATTAAATTTTTATATGATTTGGCCAGCAAAGAACTATGATAAAGGTTTTTGCCCTCTTTTCATTTTTGACTTCCTACTTGAATGTACTTTGAGAAAAGGATTGTGTATTGTGATTGTATGGTATTTTAGTAATTTCCAGAAAAGAAAAATAATGTTAAAAATTAAAGTAAATGTGAAGGCATCACATTGATTTTCAGTGGATATCAGATCTATAACGTGCTATGAATAATCTATTTTTACATATTCCAGTGGGCATTCCCACAATCAAATGGTGTGGTGCTGAAGGTGACTACAATGTAATGGTGATGGAATTGCTAGGACCAAGTCTTGAAGATCTCTTTAACTTCTGCTCAAGGAAATTCAGCCTCAAAACTGTTCTTCTACTTGCTGACCAAATGGTATTAGAATCATTGTATTTCTTGGCTATTAGAAATGAGAGTTTCCTAAAAACTTCTCCCTGCTTATGTTATGTGCACTTTTTCTGAATAAATGTTGTAAATACTACATATTAGCTTTTCTTTCTATAAATGTCACACAAAAGCTAGCATTTTTTTTTTGTATAGCAGTGATCAAATGTTGTGGTTAGGACTGCTTTATACTGTGATTTATAAATTAAATAATGATTTACAGTTCATGTTTTCAAACACAAGTCCTATCCAGTGAGATCACAACCTCCCTTTTAAAGAACATAACTTTTCTAAATGTGGTTCTTAGAATATGAAGATCAAATAAGTAAATAAAATAGTGTACTTCATTTAATGTTTAAATGTTAGCAAAACATAATTTTAGTGTTATTCAGAATAAAGGAAGAGCTAAATGTATAGAGTTTCATATTTGCTAATTCTGGAATTGTGTTTTTCTACAATTAGATAAGCCGAATAGAATATATTCATTCAAAGAACTTCATCCATCGAGATGTAAAGCCGGATAATTTCCTGATGGGATTAGGCAAGAAGGGCAACCTTGTCTACATCATAGATTTTGGGCTGGCCAAGAAATATCGCGATGCTCGTACTCACCAGCATATTCCTTACCGTGAAAATAAAAACTTAACAGGAACTGCCCGCTATGCCTCCATTAATACTCATCTTGGAATTGGTGAGCTGGCGGTAGATTTTTGTAAATGTTAACTAAATTATCATAGAGCAAGAGTACCAGAAAAATCAAAATATATAACTTAACTGATATATGATAGGAGATACTGTGTATTATGAGCACACATTTAATATTTAAATCACATTGCAGTGCAAACAACATGATGTTTTTCTAGTTGAGTCAGTTGATAGATGCATCATTCATGGATGGATGGATGGGTGGTTGGGGTGGTTGGTTGGGTGGATTTGAATGGGATTTATCTCATCCTGGATGGGTGCATGGCTGGATGGTTGAACGGTTGGTTGGTTAGTTGGATGGATTTGAACGGGATTTATCTCATTCTCGATCCCAGTGGATTCTAAGCAGTGTAAAATGTAAGAGTACAATCTAAAAATAATAATAATACGAAATGCAAAGTTTTAAGTTTAGCACTTATGACTCCATGTTCGTCAATTATGAAAGGCGTTTCAGAATAGTCAAGTTTCTACCTGTTTCCAGAATGCCATGACGATGGAGCCATTTTGACTTCAGGGGCAAACTAGTCTAAAGGAGGAAAGCTCCCATAGAGAATTGGAACATGGAGTAGTAAAGACGTTCTTTGCAGTTGAAGCTGATAGAAGTTGTCATTTCCTGGATGAGTGATTGAATACCTTGCTATTTTATTCTGGGCTGAAAAGAATAATAATAAACTTTGCAGATTGTGATTTGGCTCAATTGTCTGAGTCAACTTTAGCTTCCTGCTTTTACTTCTATATGCACCAGTTCTCTGATCTTGCAACATTATTAACAAGCTTGCTTAAAATAACTATATAATAGTGTTTTTTTCTTGTAGTTAAGTTGTAACTTTAAAATCTTGCCTACATAATTTATCTATTAAACATCTTTGCACTGTTTCTCCAAATAATAGAACCTAATGGCTGTACTCTTATACTCCTTGTAGAACAATCTCGCAGAGATGACTTGGAGTCCTTGGGCTATGTACTCATGTATTTTAACCTGGGCTCCCTCCCTTGGCAGGGATTGAAGGCAGCTACAAAAAGACAGAAATATGAACGCATCAGTGAAAAGAAAATGTCTACTCCCATTGAGGTTTTGTGTAAAGGATACCCTTGTAAGTTCCCTCTCTAGAATAAATTTTCTTTACTTTTATGTTTAAAGCTAAGTTTATAGTAATGCTTCTTTTAATGTAATGTCACATATTTTGCTGTATTTCTATTTTAGGAATAATCCTGGAACTAACTTGCATAAATTATCTCTGAGTTGAATGAATGTATGTAAACTGGCTATTACATAACTTATTCCCTTCATTCCCTTTGTCGTTTCAGAGAATAATATCTGTTCATAAATTTTCTATTGTATACAATATTCTTATGACAAACAGCTCACTGTATAGCTAGCCCTCCATTAACAAGTATTTTTCTTATTGATTGAATTTTTGTATTTCTAAATTTGAAAATCTAGCACTTAATTCACCTGCATTGTTCATTTTGTAAAATTCTTCTTTAAGAATACATATCCTTATAATGTTAGCATTTGAAACTGTATAGAGCAGATTCCCCATTTGTACATTGTGTCATCCCAAAGATGACACGATGAAATCCAGTTGAGTCAAATCTTTCAATTTGCTTACACCTAATGGACAGAATCTTGTCGAGCTAAAACTATAAGCCTCTACTCCAGTGTTCCCAAACGTGACAATTTTAAGGCATGTGGACTTACGCTGGCTGTGGAATTCTGGGAGTTGAAGTCCTCATACCTTAAAATTTCAAGTTTGGGAAACACTGTTCTACTCTAATAAACACAGTAAATACATGCAAAGTTTTAGGCCACCATTAATTTTGTTGTTGGTATAATGTTGTTGATGGTATAATAACCATAATATAATTATATCTCAGTCTCCGTAATAGAATACAACCAGAAAATACAGGAAATTTGTATGCAGTATTCAAAAACAGAAAAAAGCAGAAAAAACAGCTTCCATAGGCAAAAGTGGCAAGTATGTAGTGTGACTTCCCCTTACACTTGAGCAACGGTAAACACTTGGATCCTATAAACCTAAATGGAATCCTAAGTCCTATTATTGTTAGCACCTGTTTGTGTCCTACTATTTCATGCCGAAATGACTGCTGTGCCAAAAGGTCTATTATACCAGGTTTGTGCAAGACGTGTTTGAGCATTACATTCAGTACATACACATGTTGTATGAGTGTAATTCATTGGAAACTGGCTAATAAGACCCAACTTCCAATCACATCATTCCAGTCAAAATGTCAAAGATCACAGAATGTGACAGACATAAAATCATACTTTTGCATCAGCAAAACCATTCTCGAAGAGAAATCAACAAACAAACTGGATATTCAAGATGTGGTATTCAAGCTGTTATACAGAAATTTGAGGAATCAGCAGAGATCAAGGACAAAAAAAAAAGGACTGTAAGGCCAAGGAAACTTTTAAATTCAAGGTCCTCAGAGTTTCTTCTTTGAGAGACCGAAGAAAGTCGGTCTGACTCAGCATCTGGCAGCTTCATCAGAATGCCAAGCGAAGCTTGATCAGTCCAGCGAAGCTTGATCAGGAATGGACTTTGTGGAAGGGGAACAGCCAAGAAATCACATTTGTGGAAGTGGAACGGGTAAAAAGGCTAAGATATGCTAAAGTTCACAAAGATTGGAATGAGGATCAGTGGAAAAGAGTATTATAGAATGATGAATCCAAGTCTGAAATGTTTGGGTCTAATCATCGACAATATGTGAGAAGACGACTTGGAGAGAGATGGATGGATGAGTGATTGCAGCCTTCAGTGAAACATGGTGGAGGGTCTGTTCTGTTTGGGGGCTGCATTTCTGCCGGCAGTATTGGTGATATCCATATTGATGGGATCATGAAATGCAGAAAAGTACAGGCATGTTTTAATTCATCATGCCATTACTTCTGGAAAGCACCTGATTGGCAGTAGATTTATATTTCAGCATGGTAACAGTCTCAAGCACAATGCTGCTGCAGTGAAATCATATTTAGTGAGGAAAAACAGCTGATAAAATCCTAAGAGTCGTGGACTGGCTTCCTCAAGGTCCAACCCTGAATATTATAGAGGCAGTGTGGAATTACCGGGACAGAGAAAGAAATAAAAGACAACCTAAATTTGAAGAACAACTCTGGAAAAGGCTGAAAGAAGCTGGTGTAATATTCCAGAAGATTACCTCAGAAAACTTCGGGACAGTCTCTTCAAAATAGTTCAAGATGTGCTTAGAGCCAAGGGAGGTCACGTCAGTACTGACTTTTGCCAAAAGAAGCTGTTTTGATCTGAAAATCGTGTTTGTTTAAATTTTTGTGTACATTATTTCCTGTCTTTTCTGTTGGAATCTTAATATAGAGATTGAAAAATAATTATGAATGGTCATTAACACTTTGCTAAACAAACAACAAACAGATGGTGGCCTATAATTTTTGCACAATACTGTATATCCTAAGGGATACTAAGGTGTAAATATCCTGAACCTCTTCCTCATTCAGCCCAGGACTGTGCAGTCTCTTAATTTGGGCTTCTCTCTGGAATGTGCTGCCTCCCCCTTAGAAAAGCTCTGGGCTGCCAAGACCATGGCTTCTTCAGGGACATTCCATCACAATTACAGGATGAGCAGAGCCTTTACTTAGTTTAACAGCCACCCCAATAATTACATAAAATCCTAAGGCAAATATGGAAGTATAGTGTGTTGGTACATTTACAGTGGACCTTTTGTTTGCATTGATTTTCTGCTAATATAAAATTGGGATTTTTTTCATTGCAGCCGAGTTTGCTACCTATCTGAATTTCTGCCGCTCGCTGCGTTTTGATGACAAACCGGATTATTCATATCTAAGACAATTATTCAGAAATCTCTTCCATAGACAAGGCTTCTCCTATGACTATGTATTTGATTGGAACATGCTCAAATTTGTAAGTATTTAATTGTCAAAAATTGGGAATGCTAAAAAGGAGTTGGATTGTTTTTGATTAAATATAATGTATCACGGGACTGTTACTCCAAAGCCTAAATTCTTATGGTGAAATTCACGATGGTGAATTTAATGAAATGTAAAGCAACATTCTGTGTTGAACATACAGCTTTCAGGTCTTATAGGTTTTTTGCAGGAACCATGTACTGTGTGTAGAGGTAGTCCTCAACCATTCATTTAGTTACCATTTACAATTAAAAAGGCACTAAAAAGGTAATTTATGACTGGTCCTTACATTTAAGATTATTATGGCATCCCCATGGTCATGTGATTAGAATTCGGGCACTTGGCAACTGGCATGTATTTATGACAGTTGCCCTGTCCCAGGGTCATGTGATCATCATTTGTAACCTTCGTAGCTGGCTTCTGACAAGCAAAATCAATGGGGAAGCCAGATTCGCTTAACAACCATGTGATTCAGTTAACAGCTGAAGTGATTTACTTAACAACTGTAGCAAAAACAGTTTGTAAAATGGGGCAGAACTCACCTAATAAGTGCTTTGCTTAGCAACAGAAATTTCAGACTCAGTTGTAGTCTGTAGGTTGAGGAGTACCTGTATAACCTTTTTGACTCGGCATGGCTCCTGCTTATTCCACTCAGTTCGTTTTCATCTACGTCAACAATAACAGTGTCATGCTTTAATTCTTCTGAAATCTTCCGGTTTCAGATCTTTTGTGCTTTTAGTGCATGAAGCTTTTGTTGTTTACAGCCTTTCTCCTCCCCCACATACTTTTGACCTGGAAGACCCCATTTCTACAAATACCCAATTTGTAGTGGTGAACATTTTTTTTCAGATGGGCAGAGCCTTTGCTTTTTGCACTTTGGGAAAGATCATGCAGTAGGTTCTTTCAAATACTATATAGGAAGACTCATAATCATTTGTTCTGATTGTGAGCCATCTGCTGGGAACAATATAGGGCAGATGACAAGGCTACCATAGTTTCTTTATCCTCATCTTTCTCTAGAATTTGTACAATGCCTCAGAAGTTGTCTGGGACTTTTCTTGCCTCTTTCGAATCCATCTGAGTTCCCTCAATCCTGCTGCTAGTACTCTGTCCTGTTAAATGGCCAAATCTTCTGTGGTCAAGTCTTCTATATTCCTATAGTTATACCAATATGGATCATCATTTGTAGATTCTTTGCCCAAGAGGAAAACTTGATTCGGAGTGGAAATTTACATTAGATTTGCATTAGATCTCAATCAAGATGCCTCTCTCCATCCTTACTTCCTCCAATTAACCAAGCCAGGGCCTTTCTCCTTTCATTCTGCATAAATAGATTTTAAGGTACAAAGTCCGCTCTTCCCCCACTGCTGTTCTAGAGAAAAAGACAGCAGTAACCAACCCACTATATACTGTACATAGCCAGTTATATTTATGTGCATTAAAATCTGGTAACGTTGATTGAACTTTAATGCCTAAGGCAGAACTTAGAATTCACTCTTTATGGCACAAGAAGAAGGCTTCTAACTAGTGCTTTAACCACTAGGCCAAACTGGCTCACTCGTTCCTGCTCTATTGCAGAACTAAAGAAATAAGGCTGATAAAATTACTTGCCTAAGAGCAGCTATTAAGTCAGCTTCTGATTTGGGCCAGTTCTAGCAAGATATTATCTATGACTTGCTGAGTGGTGTAAATAAGAACAGCCAAATGGAAACTGCTAGCCTAAACCAGGGGTAGGCAACCTTGGCTCTTTTATGACTCGTGGACTTCAACTCCCAGAATTCCCCAGCCAGCATGGCTGGTTGAGGAATCCTGGGGGTTGAAGTCCACAAGACTTAAAAGCTGTCAAGTTCTAAAATATAGAGTCCCTATTTATAGGTTCTGTTCTGGCTGCCCTGCATTATCTCCAACTACTAGCCATGGTAATTGTTTTTTTCTGGAAAGGGTGCAAGCCGAGCAGTAGAAGATGCTGAGCGTGAAAGAAGAGAGAGAGAAGAAAGAATGAGACACACACGCAATCCAGCTGTTCGTGGATTACCTTCCACTGCCTCTGGGAGGCTAAGGGGGACACAAGATGTAGCTCCACCAACTCCTCTTACTCCAACGTCACATACAGGTAACTGAACAAGCATTAAATAATAATTGTTTCATACTAGTTCTTTGTTCAAAACTGAAAAAAAATGCATTTTCAGAAAACTCTTTTGAAGAAAAGAAATGGGAATGCTGATAGTTATAAGAAAAAGCAATGTCTAAGTTTGTTTTCTGTTACTTCTTCCGAGAAGGGGATCAGGTTACCTCTCTTCTTTTTCTCCCTCCATTATTTTTCTCAGCAGTTATGTGAGATAGATTTGGCTGAGAGACCCTGAATTGTTGCAAACTGATCCAGTGAATTTTCTAACTGATCAGGGATTTGCCACAAGGTCTTCTCAACTCTAATCTAATTATAATACAATGTTGCAATTATACCTAGCATGGCAAAATTTTGAGGTATTCATGAACCAAACCTCTGTTGTTTTCACTGTACAAACCATGTTTCCTCCTGCTTACAGAACAACTGGTAGTGATACATTTAGGTTGACCGATGCCCTCAGCCGTCATTGAAGACGTATTTTTTCGTGGCATTACAAATCTGGGTCACCTACATTTAAAATAAATGCTGTTTATTACCTAATGCTAGTGTGGCCAGCCTTATATTACAAGTAAATATTACTCTCAAGAAGACTTCCCACATTCTAGTGCTCTTTGAAAGGAATTTATATGTTTGTATTTGGGAAGGAGGCACTTGAGTTGGGCCATCTTTGTCTCTCTGTTTCTGTGATGAATATTAGCAGAAAATCTTAGTATTAAGGTTGTAGGTTCTTCAAGGTACACAGTACCCCATTAGGACCCATAGGGCAGAGCAGTAATAGCAGATCAGAGCTTTGAGGGATTGCTTGATCAGAAGCCACTTCCTGCAATTTGTACAATCTCATTGAAGGAACTGCACAATACTAATTACTTAATTTTGGGATTAATATCCCACCATAATCAATTCAGTCTTGGCAGTGAATATAGTGAAATGATCATTTAAACATCGACATAGAATATCAGTATAAATGACAATAAGTCCAGGAGAATGAAATAATAAAAATGGTGCAGCAAAATAAGTCAGCATAACTATGAAAATGCTCTCTTGGAATAATTCAGTTTTTAATAGCTTCCTAAAAGCCAGGAAATGGGGAGAGGCGGGGGAGAGTGGCAGGACTCATCTCCAATAGAAGCCCATTCCAAAGCTGTATAGATAGTCCTTGGGTTACAGTGGCAGTTAGGACTGGTATCTCTGTGGTTAAACATTGCATTTGTAAAGCACAATACAATATGATTGCATTGCACTGAAATTCCAGTAGTCCCAGTTGCGATAATCTCAAGGCCATGCAGGTTGTTAAGTGGGACCTCCCATGACCACAACATGGGAAGAGGCAGAAGTTCCCAGTAAAGACAGTGGGTAAGAGCTACAGGCTGAGGGAAATAAAGTGCTGCTGCTTCCAGGCCTCTATTTCAGGCCCAGCAGTGGCGTGAGTGCCACCTTAAGCACCACACTGCAACAAACCTCAGCAGCACCAGTGGCCTGAAGCCTCAATTCTCATATCCTGGAGTTGTGGAACTGTAGCAGCTGGAGTTATGTTAACATTTTTTTTGGTTTATGCAGTGGATCTATAGCAAAAAAGGCTGTGCAAAATGAAAACGTTCAGAATGTCCTATTGGAATGTTTCATATTGAGTGTATTTCAACTGAATAAAATGCAAAAATCAAAGTGTAAAATCTTTCTCAGATTATGCTTGTCTATTGATTTAAAGCTGTACATGCAGTGCACAGTTTGTGTATTTGTCCTTGCCCACTAGATGACGCATCCAGGCAACATGATGTGTAACAGTCTTGAAAGATCAGCAATTCAACAACTATTGTGTGTAATGCATTGCATATTCTTATGTCTGTAAACCTGCCTGAAGAAAAAACACAGTACAACTGAATCCCATTAAGTAATATCATTATATCTCATGAACTAATAGCAACAAATTTAAAAACAGCAGTTTTTATTAGGGAAATTTTTGAACAAAATTAAACTTGGCTAATATGTCTCTCCTTCCGTTTTATTGACTAATGGATTCTGCAACTCTCCATGACTTAGCAATTTAAAAATAAAAACAAGCCAATCTCTTGACATCTCAGTGAAACAATTTGGCACAAAATGCCCATTTTGCAATGATCTCGGGATAGATGATTGAACGTAGAGTGTTTTGTTCCAAGTTTATAATGGTCAAAATGGCTATTTTGAGCCTGTAATACTTTGAACGCTTGCTGTAGTTGGTATTTTATTTCAGAGGAAATTACATCATACTGTAAAACACAATAAGTACAAGTTTTAGGACTGTATTTGATGGATTATGGATTATACAAGCTAACCAATAGATTCTGTAGCTCTTTAGTTGAAAACATTCATAGTACATAATCCATTAATATTTAACATTCTTCTAAAGAGGGGCCAATAAGGAAAGATGGACTTGACAGAGAATTCTAAAACTGTGACTAGAACTTAGAAGACACCCAGAGAACAGGATCTCAGATTTTTATTTTCAAGTTTATGCATCAGTCCTTCAGCTAACCTGACTCCAAGTCATTTAGGAATTTTTTCTGTCCTAATACTTTTGAGATCAGCTCCTGATCAAACAGACACTTGTGTGTCCTGTGCCATAATGCCTCTCTACTCTCTGACTGAATTTTGACTCATTCTCATTTCTGGGGCTGGATGAAAGAGCTACCCACCAAAGGATTTTATCTCCCCTCCATGCATGGAAGGGTTCCTTTGAGGGGAGGGGTGCAGAAATGGAACTGAAAACTTCAAGAGTCCTTTCAGCAGGTGGCAGCAGCTTGCCATTTTTCCTACTGCTTCCCTATTGACTTTCTGTGGAAGTCAGCAGAGATCACAAATGACAATTACATGATCACAGGAGGTTTGGTACCCAGATCACAATAATGTGACCATGAAGGTGATGGTACAACATTTGCGTGGCCATCGTTATTTCAGACTATTGTTAAACAAATGGCCGTAAGTCAAGGACTATCTGTGTAAGATTTACATCTTTTATTCAGGAGTTCAAGCCAGTATACACAACTAACAATGCACTGATGATGTTTCCTGGTTGGGTAATAAAATGTCAGCAAGCAAACAGCCAAGGCCAAAGAACACCAAGGATTTCACAGTTCAGCCCCAAGCTATAGAGACTGTCTACACTTCTATTGGAATATGTAATACTCCCTTCTCCAATTTTTCCAACAACAATCCTGTGAGATAGATTGGGTTTAGAGTGAGTAGCCCAAAGCTACCCAGGGAGATTTTGTGGTTTTGAGCAAATTAGAACCAGGGTCTCCCTAATGACAGTTCAGCCATACTGACCTATATATTATCTCCAACAAGAATTTCTATAGAATTCTGAAATAATTTATAACCAACTTTTCTATGTAAAAAATCTGATAATAGCTTACTTTTTTGGGTCAGCAAATACATCTCCTCGACCAGTTTCTGGAATGGAGCGAGAACGGAAAGTGAGTATGCGATTGCATCGTGGGGCCCCTGTGAATATCTCCTCATCTGATTTAACAGGTCGACAAGATACCTCACGCATGTCAACCTCACAGGTACAAAACTATTCATTTCATGGGAAAAGAGATAAAGGGGTATAGTATTGTTGGCATTCAATTTCAGTTTAGAAATGTTCTGGGCTCTGAGTTGAAAGACTTACCTTACAGTTGTTACGTTTTAAACATGTTGATCTCTTACTTAATCTGAATCAGCTGATAAAAAGCTATTTGTGAAGGCCTCTGTTCTTGAGGCTGTAATGCCTCAAGAGGGACTAACAGCTATGGAAATCTATAGCTAGGTACCTGGGTGCCACCTTTCCTTAATGCCTTTTTGGGCCTTTGTGTATTCACAGGGAACAGACTTTTAACAGCCATGGAAATTTCAGTGACTTTTGCTATACTCTGTGAATCGTCAACTGACATAAAGATCCATGTTTTTCTTAACCACTGCAGGTCTTGGAAATCTTGTACAAATGAATGAATATTAGTCTTTGTTAAATTTGAGGAAGAATTAATAAGCATTCTTCTTTTAACGTTGATCAGATACAATTTGTCCAGTATTAGAGATGGACAACATCAGTGGTAGCCAGTCATTTAGCATTTTGTTTGGTAGTGCTTAATGATAAATACTCCCTGACAAAACAACAGCATCAAACCCAGTAACCAACAGTTCTGAGATCTGGACATAATTTGTGGTTGTATTTCCAAATAAATGGCCACTGAATGGGAAATAGCTACCAGCTTTTGTCTGGTATAATCATTATCTGTAAAAACATGTATTGTATAAGGAGTTTTTCTGAAGAATACTAAAGATCTGAAAAATTGTGATTAATAAGAAATGGAAATAGAAAAGGATTTCCCATGCTTCCTTTGTATACTTTTGTAGTAGTTTGTTAGGTACCCTTCATGCATCTCTGTTTTTTTTTTTTTTTAGCACTTTGAAGAATCGTATTTAATTTGAGAAGCAGAAATGCTTTTTAGATTATGTGTGGGCGTGTATTATTATTTGAAACACATAGCTAAATTAAGAGTAATAGTGAAATCTGAATATGTCTGCAGGAGTCAAGCACCTTGATTTTGGGACCATTAATCAGGACTTGCAATTTTTCCCATAAAGCATACATCATTTTTTGAAATATATGTCAGATGTTCAAAGAACATCTGTATCAGGTTTCAACACATTGTGTAATTGGCTATAAATAAAGATTTTCAATGTATAAAGGCCAGCATATTCTAGAAGAAAAATGCATTTAATTCTGCAATTTAATGAAAGAATAATGTTAATATTATTTCCTGCTTTTTGTGTATTTCTAAACCAAAAGACAAACACTTACCAAGCTATTGAATAATATTGGTTATAATTTTTTTGTTTCATTTCACTATGTGTGATATGTAATCACATCAGATTAGAAGTTCATATACAACATGCTACAAAACTGGATTTTGATTTGTAAATTGTTCAACAATGAAATATTGGTCTTGGGATCTTACATCTGCATTGAATTGTCTTTTTAAAAAGCTGGGAATTTAGAAACAATAAGTTTGAATTAGATGCTAATAGGAGAGCATATTATAAACATTTGGAAAGTTAGTCAGAAAGCAAGTGCCTTTCAGAGCCTTGATAAATTAGGCTGTAATTTTGTCAGCTGAAGAAGTCATGTAGCAAAAGTTTCTACAGGTGAATCGGATAGTAATGTAGATGTTTTAACTATAAAAAATGATTTTAGCAACAGAGGTCAATAAAGAGGCTCAAAGGTTTTTAATAGAAGTGGAAAACTCACCCAAATAAGTAATTATGGGTGAATATAAAAGTCTATAAAAGCATAAGTGCCACACCCTGGCTGCAAAAATTCAGAAGACCATTAGACACCAGCAAAGAACATTAGTTTGCTTTCTGCTCTTCAGTAATAATTTGTATTTTTCATTTTGGATACAAGTAGCTCAACTGACGCTATTACTTGCAGTTAGAAAAGGAGAAGTTTATCCAGACACAATTGTATTTAGTAAACGTTCATAGCATTGCTCATTAAGACCCAATTAATAAAACCCTGATTGTTGATAGCATGCTTTTATAGATGAAAGTTATCTAATCTGAATTTATGCCAAAAGGATATTTGAAACAAGCAATCTTTAAAGCAAAATTAAAAAGATCTCTGATCAGAGAATAACATTTCAAGGAATATATAATTTAAGAGTTTTAGCTCCCACAGGAATATAGCTTTTATTACCTAATGCAAGCTTTTGCAATCAAGTACTTAAATAATATGACTACTTTCTGCAGGTCCAGAGTCTTTAACATATTAATAAAGAAATTATTTATCATTGTAATTATAACTACTTCTATATTATTTTTCTTGAAATCTATACTTCTTTATATTGAATCATATGGTGGCCTGCTGAATGCATTTCTGAAATACTTGTTTCTGTTATTTTTGGTGAACAATTATTTCAGAAAATACTTCATTACGCACTGCTCAAAGTTGCAATAAATAAAATAGTATTCTCTTTGGCTCTTTAATACAAGGGCATTTCCTTACCTGCTGACCAATATATTTATCTCTAGAGCTTGAGTAAATATATCCTATGGGAGATTTGCTAATTTTGAAAAAAATGAAACCTTGTGAGGTTTTGAGACTCTTTCTTTTATCCTTTCATCTGAAAAGCCAAGCTCCTGCAGACCTCGAAGGAAGAGGAAGAAAGTGCGCATTTTAACCTCTTAAGTTACCGGAAATAAAGCACTTTTGGACTCTTGAGGTGTAATTATTTGCTTTCCTTTTCATCAAAATCACTGAAGTCCAGCAAGCTATATTATACAAAATATGTGTAAATGTTTTTTTTTTAATTGAATTTAGAGAGCATTAAATTACAAGCCCATCTTGCCTTATCCCAGTATTTCATTCTCTTGGTATATGGTTGATGTTTGCCTTGCACACTTGGGAGGCATCAGCAGCCAATTATTTTTAAAGTGTCATTTTATTAATAACTATAAACTGATATGGAACAGAAAAGCTGCCAATGACTGCATATCGTTAATGGTTTAAAGGAGCTGTGAATGATTAGATACCGGTCACCAAAGATTTCAGAATTTAAATTTTATGCAGATAAAGGGATAATTTTCAGCCTGAACCCTTAGGTAGCAATAGTTGAGTTCCATAGAACAGTATTCTTCATATTCGTATTCTTCATATAAACAAAGACTAAATTTTCCATCTACAGTTTTGTGCATTTTTCTAATAAAAAAGACTGCCCCCTCTTCTATATCCTATATAATAATGCAACTAGCACACAATTCTATTACATAGACAACTCTTTAAAGTGGTTTCTTAATTCATTAAAAGGAAAATAATTAGTCTGAAGTAAATTTATCGATGGGCATGATAATTTAAATCATTTTAAATTCCTTTAGGTTGTGAATAATATAATATCTTTTATTTTCATCCAATTGTGTTTAGAATTGTAAGAGAGGGCCTTTTTTGGATCAGGAGCTTAATGTTTCTTAAGAGATCAAACCTTCTGTAACTCCATGGCTGTTCTTGCCTCTTTTTTTTTTTTACTGGCCCCGAAAAATTCCAAAATCCACATATTTCAGAAGTAAATTCTGATTCAATTATGCAAATGTGGGTCGCAAAAATCCAGATAACCACCCTATGAAAGCAGAAATATGCCACCATCTAATAATAATCTGGATTTTTACAACCCAAATCCAATAACTCTACATGTGCTAAATCGGTTAGATCCCTTGATTTGTGTTAGGCAACACTGATTTTCTCTAAATTTCATACTCTAATGCAATTTGAATTCTCATTCTAATGTAATTGAAATTCCTTTCCAAGATGACTGTGAAAGGTCCAATAAGCTTTTTTTCTAGTGAAAAGAAATTAGAATAGGTTTTACAATAAATAAATTGAAAAGTTTCTTTTTTAACATTCTCGCAAAGTTAGAATTGCCATCTTAAGAAGGGACTAAGAGTCCTATGGTCACTTCCTAAGGGCTATGTGACATCATTGGTTAGAAGTCCCTTCTCTTCCTGTTTCTTGTATACCAAGATGCACAGAACAAAGACAACAAGGAAGAAGCCTTGCAGACTAGATAGAGAGGTTTTTTCCCTTTCTAATGCTAAACTGGGATCTAGTACAATATGCACAAGCTTTCACATTAACCAACCCATATAGTCTTCCCTTCTGAATGGCTAGCAAGTATTTCCCTTAAGAATTAAGTAATTGCAGTTTGACATCTGATCCTTGCTAAGTATAATTTATTTCATAGAAGCCATCTTTAAATTGTAGTTATGTTTTTTAAATATTGTTTTATAACTTTAAAATGTTATAAGATCTCGAGTAAAATGGCCTTCTATTTGGGCTTTCAGAATTAAAAGAAATATTTGCCTTATCTATAAGCAAGCTAATTAAGCTCTTGTAATTTGCTATTTGATCTTCCACATTCCTTGGGTCTGGTTTGCTATAGAGAAGCAAAAATTATTATCAGGGTTGACTCCTTCAAATAGGTGAGCTTAGATTGAGTTAAGTAGGGCTCCAAATTTTGAGAGGGAAAAAATCAAATTAAAAAAAAAATGGAAATCTTTTTGTGGGGTGAGATCACCAATTACATTGATCACCTAAGATACTAGATGGAGGCAGTATTCTAGGTTGCCACAAATGGTACTTGCCATGCTTCACTGTTGTCTTTTCTGGTAGGGTACCTGTAGCATAAGAGCAATGTCATACTAATCGGTAAGGGAGGAAGATTAGAACAGCAATCCCCAATCTTTACAGCTTTGCGGCCTGGCAAGTGGGGAGAGGGGAACCAGCCTGCCACTTACACAAGCTGAGCTGCGTGCACGCCAACCAACTGCTCATGCGGCCCGGTTCCAATCGGATCATGGCCCTATAGTGGGCCGCGACTTGGAGGTTTGGGACCCCTGGATTAGAATTAAGGCCAAGAACAGGCAGAGGACCAGGAACAAAACAGATGGGCCCGGGTTAGAATGGAATACTTCAAAACTATGGATTCTCTTTCTACATTGTGTTAGTAAAATTAAAGTTTTTGTTCAAATACAGTACTTTAAATATTTGGCCAAATAATTCTAAAGCAGACATTTTTATCATCCTCAGATTTCACTCTTAGAACATGGCTTCAAAGATCATGGTCCTTGTGGAAGATAAAACACACAGCCTGTGTGCTGTATATATGTTGTGTATGCTCACTGCCCACACTTCTGCGTGGAAATCTTAACCTCTTCTGAATGTTAAGGATTCAGCACTATTAAATTATGTCAATTCTTACCTTAGCACCCTGATTGATAATTCTGTCAGCATTAAATCCCAGTTCTGACTCCTTATAGTCAACATTAACTATTTCCTTGGTGACCACTCTAGCAGGTATACCAGGGGATGGGGTGTGAGTGGAGCCTGCTGGGAGCTGAGAATTTGAAGTTGCTGCAAAGAAAGAAGTGCAGGAAGAAGAGCAAATGAGGCAAAAAGCAGAAGATGGTGAAGAAAGAAGAGTTAACCCAGAGCAGAAACATGGATTAAAAGGGACATTTTCCTTCTTAAATGTTTGGATGTTATTGTGAAGTATGAAATAAAACTACTAAAACTTCTAGGTTCTGCAACCTGGCCAGATTTTTATTTTGGCCTCTGCTGAAACATACATGCAATATAAATAGCAGATGAAAGTATTGCTACACCTACGTAGTGGCATATAAGAGATAAACAAAGATTTTATGAGTATTGTAGTCCAGCCAGAGTTCTTTACTTGTAACAGTACAATCTATCTTGTAATGGATAGAAACAGAGTCAGGATGGAGACAAATAGCATTTAAGTGTCTTACTCTTGATGAAATCCTACTGATGGATAACATTCAAATAGATCAGAGACCAGGACAGCTGAAGGAGCCATTTCTAAAATACCAGAGTTTTGCAGGAGATAATTGCAATGTTTTGAAGAATCTGTACACAAAGCCTTGATAATATATGCCTGTGTTCATGGGCAAACAGCTATCAGGAGTCATTCAACTTCCACAAATATCTAGTAATGTGTAGTGAGGCAAGACTTGTCAATATGGAGGACTTGGATTATGGGTTTGAGTGGGTTTTTATAAGGGGGAGAAGTATTAATCATGTGAGTCTGAAGAAGCCTGCATACATAGTTATTACCTTGTTGAGAAATAGATCAGTTGGCTGGATAATTGAAGTTTTAGTCTTAAAATACCTAGCGTTGCCAAATACTGGTAATTGATGGCAAGAATGATTGTGCAGGAACCACAGGCACCAGCATTGTCATGTCATGAGACTCATCTAAGTAAGCAGCTTTATTCTGATCTCTCCCTCAAGGATGGAAGCATCGCATGCTAACATACAGGTTCCAGATATTCATTGTTTTTCTTAAATACTTTCAACATTTTAGTTGAATATTTACAGAGTTACTTATTTGAAAGTCTCCAAAAAGTTCAGTTTATCCTGTTTTTTCTCAATGAAAGTTGGCCTAGATTTAGCTGATGTGTCTTTGATGTCCTTTATTATGATGATTCCTTTTCATGATAATTTCAGATATATAGCTTTTCCTCAGTAATCTTCAAGCATTGGTTCTGTAAGAAATGTTTTTTGTCAGCATGACAAAACATAGGGACTGGGTTCATAAAACTAATTTGAAAAATGCAATTGCTGGTAGATGGATGTTCTTGTTGTCTTTTGCAGTGCCATTTCTAGCTGGTAAGAAATATTAGTTTTTCAGTTTAGTCACCATTTACAAGGTGATTTTTTCCCCAGTGAAAACACTTAAGCTTGTTTTTTGTTTCTTGATGGGCTGAACTTCATAGCAGGTATCTTTTATATAATTTGAATTTAGCATTTTCTGCCTTATGGGTGATGTTTTATATTCTTAAACATACCATTCAGGTCTGTAGAACTGTAGAACAGACTGTTGAAAATTTGGGTGTTTTTATGAGAAGAGAATGAGTTTATTTAAGCTTCTTCTGCCACTAGGAAGAAGTGTTGGTTTATGTGTACACAAAGAAGTACTGAGAGAAAATGTAACTCCTGTTCAAAAATGGACTTCTGTTCTAGTGAACGTATTCATCCAAAAGCCTCTGTTTGTATCTGTGGTTACTAGTCTGAAGGCTCTAGAGCAGGGCTGTCCAATCTTAGCAAGTATAAGACTTATGGACTTCAACTCCCAGAATTCCCCAGACAGCCATGGTGGCTCAGGAATTCTGGGAGTTAAAGTCCACAAGTCTTAAGTTGCCAAATTTGGAGACTCCTGCTGGAGACTGAGCTTCTACCTAATGGAGTGTTAATGAGAGATGCAGGTTTCCTTGATTTACTCATGGGTTAAATTTATCACTGTAATAAAGGAAAATGTTTTTTTGAATCAACGGCCAGCACAGACAATAAATCATTAATCTGATGATCCTTTTGAGCTAGGAGTCATTCCAACATTTCCAAAATCCTGTTGATTGTTCCTGCTGCTCAGAGCAGTCATTCTTCACACATCAGTTCTCAAAACACATTCTCAAAGCAACCTCTCTGGTTATCCGTTTGGTGACAGCTTTTAATCTGTGAAGGCCAATGTCTCTGAGGCTTCTGAAAGGAGCACTGCTCTAAACAAAGGGCAGCTCCACTTAGAATCTTAGTTTGGAATTAATTTTGGGGCAGTGGAATTGTTTCAAATGGCTGTCTTTTCCCCCCCACCTCAGAATAGCATTCCTTTCGAACACCATGGCAAGTAGCTGCTCGTCTTCTCGTTGGAAAGCAGCACTGGGTGAGTCCCTTCTCGCTAGACTCCAGCTTGGTGGGTGGGTCTGGATGAACTCCTTTGGGGCATTCAAATGGGGTGGCTTTTCCTTTTAATTCTGCACTTTTATTTCCCTCTGCCTTGCAGATGACATAGCATTAGATGTGCTTTTCCCAAATGTTTTTAGCGTTTCACTAGTTCACTTTTTCCTCAGAACTTTCATACTTCACTAGAATGGTTTGATTAGAACATCCGTAAGTGAAACCAGTATTACTAAGTAAAGTGGAAGAATTTGGGATAACCCCATAGGGATCACTCCAGTTGCTACATTGCTTAGCAGTAAATCTGCTTTTTAGCAAGTGTACAAACTGAGTAGCCCATTTGAGAAAAACAAAACACCTTGAAGAGAGCATCAAAATATTATTATGTATTTGCTATGCACATTTTAAATATTTAGTCGATTCATGTGGCTGCCCAACCTAGATTGTGACTGCCGATAATTTAGACTATATTCATTTAAATTAAATTATTCCAATATATAGGAATATCTGGGGGAATTTTAAAAAATCAAGTTGGTGGATGTTGCCATACAATTGAAGCCCTGCCTCCTGTTTAATATGCATCACATGGACATTAAAGGGGACAGGGCTTTAGTTGTAGTGAAAACTAAGGCTGGGAACATCTTCACTGCCTAATATAGGCAGAATTATCTTGTAGGATAAACAAAAGATTAATGTGGCCTCTTTATTTTTCTCCCTTTCCCACAAGCAGCCAAGATTAAAAAAACATTTTCAAAACTGATAAGTAGCTGGAAACTGCCTCTGGACTTGTTACAATAGACACTTAAATGTTTGTATTGGTATTGAATGCATCAGTGATAGCGAAAGCTTATCATTTGATATGATAGTAGGTAGTTTTCCCCAAAGCAAAATGGAGTGTGTATGAGCAATATGTAGCATGCTGCCATTTTTAAATATTTCCAAAACTGCTTCTTTTGCTGTTTTATCCAACCTGAGATGCTTAGATTTTGCTAACAGCCGTGCTCTCTTTCCTGACCATTTTATTGTTTGGGTTATGTTTTGCCTCTCTGCCCAGAGGACATTTCTATTATTAATGTTGAATCATTCTTGTTCCTCTTCTCATTACTGCTTTTGTATATTTGACTCCCAAAGCCTTTTACTTTATTAACAATATTTGCAAGTTATTATTCACTTGGATTTGATCAACTGGATAATCCAACTGTTGAGAATTGTAAGGAAGGTTTCTCTTCCAAATTAACCTTGATTGTAAGGATACGTTATACTAAATAGGTGCTTGCTTGCATTTTCCTGCAAAGAAAACATGTCATGTTTCTCCTCCCCATTTTGGCAGGAAGAAAGTTGAAATGACAATAGGGAAGATGTAATAGCCAAACTCTTTACAAATTACAGTAAGGCTTAATTGCCTATTTTTATGTACAATTTATATTGGAAAACCTCAAGTGTTTAGACTAGACATGTCAAACTGCCGGCCTACGGGCCGGATGCGTCACGCCAAAACTGCACCTACCGCATTGCCAGCAATGGGGGGAAAGTCGCAATACGTTGCACAACATCACTTGATGTTGCAAGTTTGACATGCTTGGTTTAGACCAGGGGTGTCAAACTGCCAGCCCACAGGCCAGATGTGTCACCAGGAAACTGCACCCACAATGGGGAAAAAACTCCGATACGTCCGATACGTCGCACGATGTCACATGACGTTACAAGTTTGATATGTCTAGTTTAGACAGAAAAACTGAAGTTTCCAGTCTACTATCAAGTTCCTGATTTATATTTTTTTTAAAAAAAACCTCTTGTTACACAACAAGACATTAATGTCGCAGCAATTTGACAGTGTTTCTACAAAACTGCATTCAAGGATGATCTTAATTCGAAACAACACAAAGAAGTTACTTGTCATTTAAAATATGCATGAATCTAAACTAGCCTAACTTTGGCTGTTGGAATACCGGTGCATTATAGAGTTCGGACTTGCATTAGCAAGGACATGGACTAGGTAAGGATGGGTACCTGGAAACACCTTTCTTCCTGTTCTCAATCATATGCAAGCTGCTCTCTAGAGATTGGCAGTGTTTTGGTAATCTAAGTACTAAAGCTTTATTGTATAATTCTGAATAGGAGGATTTGCTTCCCACTCATAGCCAATACCTTTTTAAAAAGTGTTGCTTATTGCACCTCTTAATCCTGTTAGCGGAGCAAGGCTTGGTTTAATGCACACAAAGCAAACCCGTTGCTTTCATCCTGATTTGAAAAAAATGGATTTTGAGTAATTTTGTAGATTATACTTATTTATTAAATTTATATAGCACCCCTCTAATCTAGAGGCGACTCTAGGAGGCTTACAAACAGACTTGGTAGCAGATTGCCTGTATGTTGAATAGATTTAGAATAAAATGCAACCTTATTACAAAAGAAAACAATACTGACAGTATTAATAGTTTCCACTAGGACTATTTTAAACCTTGACCGGTTTTTCAAAGCATTTAGATTTAGGATCTTCTTAATTTATTTCATTTCCACCATCTTAACTGGAATTGAAATGCTATCAAATTTCTGATGGCAGAGTTCACAGGGTTTGCTTGACATTGCATCTTTGATGGGAACATTGTTATAAATAATGCATATTTGTGTGTGTGTGTGTGTGTACGCGCACACACACATTTACAATGCATTTGTCACCTTGCTTCTTGCTTTGGGTTTCATTACTATTTTAAGAGCTCACCTGAGTTATCTAATCTGTTTTCTCTTTAACTAGCATGGGCTTTTCTTCCCCATTCTTCATATATTTCTCCCTGCTCACAAGAAGCTTTTTTTACGATTCCTTTAATACACAAGGAACATGTCATTCTGTCATTCCCTTCATGGGCATTACAGGTGGGTGTATCATTGACTCAGTTGGCACATAAATCTCTGTGTTGGCTTTTCATCCTTCTGAAGTAGACGTTTCTGTTCAGTTGTATACATGGAAAATGGTGCGTGAGTCCAGGTTTTATGCAGTCTCAGTCGGTGTGAGCTGATATTGATACCCTGTTCCTTGGCTTCAATAGATTCCTGCTCTGGCGACGACCAGCGTACTCCAATCTGCTGTGCATCGGTGAAATAATGATGCCATTGAGGGGCAGATAATGCATGGCTGATCTCCTATGTTATCAATGGCTTTTACTAGCAAACTATCCCAAACTAGAGCAGAAGAAATATTCCAGTTGGAACTCTCCTTGCCACTGTCTAAAGATACTCACAGGAACATGGACAGAATCCAGCAGCTGCCACACTACAAGAGGCTTTAGCCCGAAACCCAATAACCTTATATGAACTCTAGCAACAGGGCTAGAAAAGGAAGCGATGGTATACAGCATTGCCAGCCTGTTATTTAATAGCCATTTTAGTTGTCCCTCAGCAGGCGGCGGTCTTCTCATCCTCCCCCCTTTTTATTGTTCTACTGTAATTATAAATCTTTTACTTGGTTTAAGAAAGTTTTGTATTCATTTTGCTAAGATTATTGGCTGAACTTCTCTATTAAAAAAAAAAAAGTCTTGTCTCATTCAAAACCCTGTGTGGAAATGTGAAAATTCTGAAGCTTGGTTTTAAAAAAACAAACAAACTCAAGACTTGAAACTTCTTGTAAGCTTGAGACAGGGAATGTCTAACTGAATTAGAGGTGTTTCCTTTTATTTTACATTATTTACTTTTGTATGGTCCCGTTCGACAGGACAAGGGGGATTCTCAAGGGTTTTTAATTTTTAGTTTTACTTATGGCTGTCTTGTTCTTCCCGGGTTGTCGGGGGTTTTGTTTTTGTTTTTTTAGAATTTAAACCTCCATGTACCACCCACACTTTTTTAAAAAATGTTGATTTGTCTCTCATATTGTCAAGAAAGAGTGGGAGATCTTTTGGAAGAAAAAGCTGTACCGAGTAGAGGTAAAAATAACGCTTCATAGATTTTGAAAGACAAAAAGTGCGAAAATAATCTTTCAGGAAGTTTTTAATGTTGGACGTAGAATGTATTACCTTTATCCATAATAGAGAAGGGTTTGGAGAGGGGCAGGGTACCTTGTTTCTGCTGGGTTGTTCCTACAGATGCCAATTAAGCACTGCCACTGCCGTAGGAGCAGTGCAGTCGTGGGCAGGCCTCTTGAGCGCACAGAGGCAGGAAGTGCCGCCAGCCCAGCTGCATTCCGCCAAGGCTCGGGAGTTATAAGAAATCTGTTCCTTCTGCAAGATGTCAAGAGAACATTCAAGCTTGTTGAATTCTTTCATTCTTTATTAAAATGTGCAAGCCTGGAACAGCTGGCCTTCAGCTGACGATATATTTATATAGTGGCCAAAACACTTAGTGTGCCAGCTAATATACATGAAGAATCTTCGTTTTCATGAGCAATATATTTATCCCTTAGTAATCTGGGAAAGTAGAAGGCATGTGAGTCATACCAAATACCACTCAAAGCACCATCAGTCCCACTTCGGGGATGAAAATGCAATATGTAGGTGTGTTGTTACTATTTTTTAATAAATGTGAGATTCTTGCCTCCTTGAAAACTTGGTGGCGAGTATAACTCCATAAGATTTTATTTTCTTGTTACTTTGCAAGCATTTTGTTTCAAAGCTTTGTCAGGTCATCTTTTGTTTCCTCTCTTTTTTCACTTCTGTGGATTTTGAACTATGAACAATCTTGTTACTTTTCTTTAGCTACTTTAGAACATTAATCTATTGCTTATTTGTATGTTCACAGTCTGATTTGATGCAACCTATGATTGGGGGAGTGCAATGGGAATGTGTTTTAATGTTGGTCCATGGAAAATTTTGAATAATTGTATCACTGGTTGCTGTAGATGTTGGTTCTTTGCGCATGTGCACTTCCATTTGTACAGTTCTACACTTCAGTGTGCTTTTTGTAAATATTTGTTGTCAATGATGTAATGTTAGAGACTTTAAAAGGCAGCCTCTTCTTTCTATATATCTGGAACCTTCAATTGCTGTATTATACTTAAAAAGTTGACTGCAAACTTCTCAAATTGTTCTTGATTGTGGGCGGTCTCTGCCCTTCCATTATACTTAAATCTCACCATCATCTGCTGAAAATATAGTTAGAATGTCTCTATAAACCTGTGTATTGGTAACAATATCTCAGAACACCTCATTTGTATTACCACTGTATTTGTGTACTTTAATAACTATGTAAATAAATTCATAAGGACTTCTAATTTTTTTAATGTGTGGTGGGCCTGTTTGCTTTCATGTGCCATTGGTGTTTGGCGTATTAAAGCGCGTGTGTGTGTGTGTGTGTGTGTGTGTGTGTGTGTGTGTGTAGTACACAAGATTAAATAACAAAAGTCAAGGCAATTTCTTTTGATTCTAAACATTCCGATAGATAATTATTGTAAACCTTTTAACTGTTCTTGTTAAACTTGTAATTAGCCTTTCTTTTTGGTTTCATACCATTTTCAGCAGCTGAGAGTATTTCTAGACAGATGACAATAAGTAGAAGAAAATAATAGGAAGATGGATGAATGTATTATATGGTATTGACTCTGGAACAAAAGGAAGGAATCCTTAAAATAGTTAATGGGATTGGGATGGGAAAAATCAACATTTGAAAGAGAGAATGATCTGTCTATCAAATTTGTATTGCTGCCCATCTCATAAAAGGCGACTCTAGGCAGTGTACAACAATCAGTAAGATAATGCATATATAACACAATAAAAAATAAGAATACATATTAAAAGATACCTAGGCAAAGAGAATAAGAATAGCCACTTAAGCCTGCTAATATAACCAGGTCTTGAGGGACTTCCAGAATACTCAGAAGGATGCAGCTAATCTAGCTTCAGAGGAAAGTATGTTTCATAAGCAAACACCATAGTAGAGAAGGCTCCTTTTCTGGGACCCATCATATGTAGATTTCTAGCTAATGGTACTTATAGAATGCCTTCTTTGCCAGGTCTAATACCAATTGTACCTCATCCCATAGAGACTATAATAAAAAATACAAAAGCTAACAATAGGAAAAATAGGGGAGGGAAAAGGGAAGAGAAAAGTGTAGAGAAGAAGGGAGAAAGAAAGAAAAGAAAAAGAAGGAAAGAAAGAAAAAGAAAAAAAAGCACTGACTTCTAATTGACAGTCCTTTCAGCAATTCCAAGAGGGCTCCACACACATTTACACTATTCAGATGACCCTGAGGACATAGATAAACCTCCAAGTGGTCTCAATGAATGCAAATGACCAGCTGTCTGCAAGGAGTATAAATCTTTCCATTCCCCACCATCAGTCAGAGCTGAAGAAGCTTCTTGGATGAGAAGCGAAATGTCTTCAAAGAAAAACAAGAAAGCCCAGTTGCCTCGTGAAAAAGCATCTTTGGGATCGCTTTAAGAAACTTCTATATTAGAATATGAATCCTATTCCAATATTTCTTTATCACACGTCCACCATAAATGATAAAAAGCCCCTTCTTTACGTTTGCATTTCCAGCATTCGTTTAAAATAACCTTTATACATTCTTGATAACCTATCTGGTGGTAAAAACCAATGATACATCATCTTATAAAATATTTCTTTTAAATTGTAATTTAATGTAAATTTTAAAACTTGTCCATATTCTCCCATTGTTCAAGCTTTACATTATATTGATTTCCTTGCCCACTGAATCATACAGTGCTTTACATATTCACGTTCCAAATTCAAATTCAATAGCGTTTTATAGATCTTAGCAATGATATGTTCATCACTACCACACGGTAGGATTTCCAATTCATTTTTAACAGAGTCAAACCCATAGCTCTGTTTGTCTAATTTAAATCTTTCTTTCAGTTGTAAATATGTAAACCAGCAGCAGACATCTTTCTGATTCTAGCTCTTCCTTAGATTTGATCCAGCAACTTCGTTTAGATCTAAATAAAGAGAAAGCACTGAAACCTGTGACACCCCACATAGTAAAGGCCAGGGAAGGACCTCTCCTCCCCAATCATGGACTGGGATTAACTCTGAAGGAAGGAGGTAAGTCAGCAGAACACCATGCCGCCCATCTCTAATCTTCTGGGTTGATCAGGAGGATACTATGGTCAATGGTTATCGAAAGCCACCAAGAGGTCAAATAGAGAAAGGATGGATGCGTAACCACCATCTCTCCTACCCTCTCCATGTTATCCCATGTTTTCTACAGTTCTGTTTGGAGCAAAACAAAATATGTTTGCCAGCTTGATTTCTTTAAAAAATACCAGCTTACAAAGATTCTCTGCAATGGTATATGTATCTGGCTGATCACCACTGATTATGATATGTGAGAGCAAGCAAGAACGATGTGTTGACAAATGACGAGGCCCATTTTACCCATATACCTTCTATGTGAGGCGATCATTTGAATATAGTTTAGTTTGTGGAACTTGAGATTTTATCTCCAAGGTCCAGCTCATTCTTTACCATTCTTATGGAGTCTTTCTCAATGTTAGAAGAGAACATCTACTTTACCCATCAGTGTGATGCTTGATAAGTGTCTTTCCTTATTGAGAGCTAGAAATGTAAATATATACTTCTGGTATTTATTTATTGGAGTTGTTCTATAATTTCAGCAAATACATTCACCTTTCTAAGCCCTTAGTTGGTTGAATAAACTCCTGCCTGATCTACAAAATAGGTTATGCTCTAAATTATGACTCACAGAATGACTGATGAATTATTTTTTAGTTAAGTGACTCTTTTTTTTTTTTTTATTAAGTGACTCTTAACATTGCTTAATTTTTCACTGAGCAGGTCCTTCTGCCAGAAGACAGAAATCTTCTGACCATTTTGATTTCTATGCCATTGCCAGTTTCTTAAATCACTTTTATTTTATAAAAGTATTTTACCAAGGAAATAAATGCAAACATACTGTATAACAGCTAAAAGTCTGCCTACAGGAGACCTACAGTTGTTTATTCAAAAGTAAGTCCCTGTGTTCATTTGATCTTACTTTGAAGAATTTAAGATTGCGGCTTTAGTGAATTGTCAGTATTGCTGAGATATCAATGATTTTTACTTTTGAATTGAAAACTGTGAAGTCTTAGATTTAGGCAATATGCATATTTCTATGGATGCACTATACAATCAGAATTTTAAATACATAAACAAGGATTAATATTTTCTGCAATGTCTCAGAATCCATAATTGTCAAGGAGACCTGAGCTGAGAATTACAGATGAATGTCGCTCAGATTAGTCTTCACTTCAGCTTGCACCAAGCCCACTGAGAATTGTGGAAGTTGCAGTCTTAATACTACTGAGTCCTCGAGAAATAAAGGTATAAAAATAAATAAATAATACAGCTGGAGGCTACCACAACTTGTCAAGGGAATTAGAGGCAAAAGATACTAAATTTTTGCAGAGATCTAAATAAATGTCCCAAGTCTGAACAGATAGTCCTTGTTTAACAGTTCAGGCTCTTCACAATTGGTGGACATTTACAACCATCACAGCATCCAACATTCACATGATTGCTATTTGTGCACTGACAACTGGCTTCTGACAAAATGAAGAAACTGGCAGTAAAATCACAAGTCTCGGTCACACTTAACAGCTGCACATTTAACAACCACAATGTAACTGACATCATAAATCCAGCACAGTCCTATGGTGTTTGACTTAACAACTGTGCTGCCTTAGCAAAGGAGTTGCCAGCCCCAATAGTGATTGTTAAGCAAGGACTATGTAATTTTGTTTCTTTAAAAAATGAAGTTTTAAATTCAAGTTTTCTTGATTCATAACTTGTCTTTTAAGAGTTTCTGCTTCCTAATCCAAGATCCATAAATATTAATAGTGTAGGAAATGATCTCTGCACCTGTTCAGAGACTATTCATATGCATCAGATTTCGCAAAAATTAACATGACAAAAATGTGTCATAATCGAGACCAAACAAATTAAAGTCTTATTAACCTCTAGAACAGGGGTCCCCAACCCCCGGTCCATGGACCGGCACCAGTCCACAGCATGCCAGTAAGCGGGCTGCACAAACAACCAAAGCTCCATCCTCGGGATGCAGGCAGTATTCAAAACCACACCCCCTCTGGTTCATAGAAAAACCTTTCTTCATGGCACTGGTCCCTGGTGCCCAAAAGATTGGGGACCTCTGCTCTAGAATATAGAGAACAAATGTTCCATAATTCCTGAAGCTATATTAACAGAATAAAATTTATTCACTATATTTACAGTAGTTCACTAGAATTTAAATTAACATTCACCTATTGTGACATTAAAGTGCATTTACATGAGTCAAGAGAAAAAGTGACTTCATTTGCCTCAAAATTATCACGTATCCTACTCATAAACAGCAATACATTGACACTCGCAACTGACAAGCACAGCTTACTTATGCCAGTTCCATACAAGAACTTTGTTCTGAAGCTTCACCTCTTCCCTTACTGCCATGGTGTGGCAACATCAGTTTTGCGAATAACGAATGCAGACATACAGGATAGCTGTCACATGGTGATAATTCAGGGGACGTGTTGTGTTAAACAACAAAAAGTGTGGTGCAAACTTTCAAAAGACTAGTATAGAACAGAAATGATGTATAGAAATCTTAGTAATAATCACCTTAGTGTACTAATTCTATAGGGATGGAGAATTTGTGCCTCCACATACCTACCCCAAAGATAAAACCTGCTGTTTCCAGGCTTTTGCATTATTTATGATGTTGATTGAGGCAGTGAGGAGGACAAATATAGGGACTCTATATTTTAGAACTCGACATCTTTTAAGTCTTGTGGACTTCAACCCCCAGGATTCCTCAACCAGCCATGCTGGCTGGGGAATTCTGGGAGTTGAAGTCCACGAGTCATAAAAGAGCCAAATTGCCTACCCTGTCCTAGACCAATGGTCGCCAAATTCTTCAGCTCATTTACCTCATGAAATTCTAGATGGTTCGTTGACCCTCCCAAACCTTTAATATATGAAAATAATTTAATAAATGCTACTTTAACTATGCCAACAATCACGGATAGTCCCATCCGCCCCTGGGAGTCGATACTGAACTAATAAAGTTCCAGAATATTTGGTTTAACTATTACTATCTAAGCTCCAATCAGATAAAAACACATTTAAACATAAAAGTCTTTTTAAACATATTTAAAATCCTTTAACACAGGACCCGTACTAATGTTTTTGATTACTACAAAAATCCAGGCACATAGATACAATGCTATGTGCATGGAAATACAAGCCATATAGACTTTCTCATTTATTTCAGGAAGAGGGAAATACTAAAATCCTTCCACACAGGTGAATTAGCAGCACCTTCTCAAACAAATAGGGGCTGTTGGCCAATGACAATTTGAAACATGTCAGAGCAGCTAACCTTTAGAATTTTATTGCCATCTATATATCAATCAGTGAATAAATCTATAAGAGCAGCAGCAGCAGTTCCACAAGATTAATAATACAAAATACATCATAGCAGATACAGAATCCTCCCTCTGCAATGCCTCCATCTGAAAATCTAGTATCTGTGGCACTTACAACCTCTATAGTGGTTCATTGGAATCACTGTTATGAAGTTCATAATGTTCAACCATCATAAATCCTAGATAGCTAACAGGCACAAGCAAGTTTTTTTGAATTCCTAAAGAGGCTATAGCTGCATTGTGCTGTAATGCATTGGGCTTTCCACATTTCCAAACAAATAGAAAAATGAAAGACCTGAGACTCACACCTTTGAAATTTGGTTTAATTCAATTACATGGAGGTAGACACCAAACATTCATTTCTCATTACATCCAAGTATATGGAAAAAGGACACAATAATAATATTTTGTTTTTGTTAAACAAGGTGAGTGACCTGTATCCTCACCCCTTTGTTGCAAATCTTAGGAAACTTTTTCAGAGGCCAGGTTGAGTTTTGAATTCCCTTTGAAAGCACTGCAACAATCTCCAACCTAAATAACATTTTGCTACTTTGAACATGGCCAGGAGGGGGAGGAAGTGATGGCAAGACTCAAATACCTTACAGTGGTATTTGCTTGATAACATCCTTGCTGCATCAGAGTTGCTCTATAAGCTGCTAACACTGAATCATAACATCTTATTTCATAAAGTAGATTGATTTATAAAATATTGATCAAATTCTATATTATAATTCTGCCAGGCTTTGACCATATGCCCTTGCTCCTAAATACCTCCCAAAAAAAGTTTCTATCAAAAGTAACAGTATGAGATAATAAGCAGAATTAATCTTTGGGTTAAACATTATGACAGAAATTGGCCAGATCTGTCAGTATTTCTGTTTAGAATTTTAATATTATTGAAATACCTTAAAAATATTTTATCTTTGGTAACCACACAAAAAATAAGAATTTGGATTTAAGAAATATAACAAGAGAAATTATTCTACACAAATTGCCTGCAGGTATAGAAACTGGCAAAATTTTATCCCTAATTATTTTCAGTGTTCCCAGGCAAACATGAAGATATTAGCACAGTTTTCTCCTGACATTAGTGAACTAGTAAACCAATTTGATTCCCCCCAGTTGTGTTGAAATTAGAATTTCCTGAATTGACTGTGTTGACTGAGAGTAGGACTTGTAGGACTTTTGAAGGTCATAGTATTGATTGAACTGTTATAAAGAAATTTCCCTTCTTTCTTTCACATGTGTATGATAGACAGAAATGGTAGGTAACATCTAATTCTCCAGATAATGGGACCAGCTATTGATTGATCGGGGTGGAATCCAAAACTGTTGTAAGATTAGAAATATCCAATTCTATGGCAGGAACTAGGGCATGAATACTTTTACCGAGTTGCTCTCCCTGCCTAGTTAGTATGAGTATAATACTGGGTTGGCCAAGCAGTCCAACTTGCATGCCTGGAGCATCTGTAATCCTTATCTAAACCATGATAGGGATCTTATATTGACATCTGACAATAAATGGTGTCTAGTATATAGCTCAAATAACGCATAATCTCATTTGACTAATTTATCTAAAAAAGTAATTCATTTAGTGAATGAACATATGTGTCCCAGGATAATGTGGCAGGATCCAATCTGGGTCAGTCACCAGGACCACAGTTTTTGTCTTCCGAGCTTTGGGCCTCGTGCTGGAGCCCATCCTCAGGGAACTTCTAACTTCTCTCTCTAATTCATTTAGGACTAAGAACCTACTTTTCTCTGGAAATTCTTTTGAAAAACTCAAATATCCACTGGATGGTAGCAAAGAGATACAAAAAGCTAACAGTTCACTAAGGGAGCATATGGAATTTTGCAGTCTAGCTATGGAATACCTCAATTAGCCTTCAAGGTCATCAGATCACTTTAAAGAACTGTTCAGAAGAGCATAAAAAGTCCATTGAGATAAAATAGACTTTTATCAACACATTTAATATAAAACTTTGCTTCCACCGGTGTCCTTCAGAATAGAGGGATCTCATATTTTCTTTGCTTGTGGAGAAATCTCAGCCACTCCTGCCCCCTAATGCAACATCCACTACCCCAAGCATTAATTTCTCTCAGCTGATTGCCTCAACTCACATCACCAACTGCTACGAGTCGCACAAACAGAAGACATACCTGGTAGTGTGGATGTTTCTTAGAAGACTTTGGGTAACAAAAAGAACCATTACTTCCTTTCTTCTACATTATTTCCTCTTATTATTTCCTTCAAATCATCAAAACTGCCAACTCCATTAATCCCCTGTGATTTATATAATGGGCATGATAAAATGTTTGGAAACAGTTTTTCTACTTTATAAAAATACAGCTAGACAAAAGATATATAGTCCTCTGCCACTAGAAAATGTTGAGAGCTGATGTATCAGTCCTTGTCCGTCTGCTGTTCCTGTGTCATAGAAAGTTTTGCAAATCATTTATGTAAGGCATGTTCATAAGAGCCTGCAGTTAAAGTTGGAAGATCAACAAGCAATTAGAAAGACTGAAATAGCTCTTCAGTCTGTTGTCCTGTGAAAACTAATCACAATTCATTTTGTTTTGACCCCGTTTGAGAATAGTTATTAGATTTTTTTTTCCCCCAGGAAGTTCAATAACTTTCTTTTGCACATTTAAATCTTTAAAGTAAAAAAGATGATGAAAACAATATAAATACATAAAAATATATTGGCAAAACCAAAATTATTAAAAACTTAGCATTCTATAAGATTAAAATAGGGTTGATCTCTTGGTAATTATTCCTTTAAATCAAACACCATCATGGAAGATACTTTGAAGTTCTATAGATACAAAAACAATAAGTGTGTCATCTGCATTACAGGGACATTTACATATTCATACATACAAAATAAAATACTTCCATCCAAGAGAATGTTTTCTGGTAGTGCAAAGCACTACTATGTGTTTAGAAGACCATGGGTTAGTTTACAGCAATAGTTATGCCCAAGCAAATTAACCTGAAGATCAATCCTTCATTAAAATGGGGGGGGGGGAAACTTCCTAACAAGGTCAGCTTCCAAGAAGTGATTTCATGAGCTTGTTGATCTCTAGTTCCCAAACATAATAGCCCAATCCTAAGCAAAGCTTATTACCAAAATAAATACAAATATTAAAAGTTTCTGAATCTTTCTCTAAATGTTTGGCATTCATTTCTGTTACATTCACACACATGTTTCTGGATTGGTTACAATTTTCCCATTTTTTTCATCTTTCAGAAAGCATTCCACTTCAATAGAGTCCACTTTGGAGTCTCCCGGTTGTTGATTTAACCCTTCTCCTTCAGCATGATCTTGTATTTGCACAGGTTTTTTGATACAGAAGAGATTTCCTAAACACAGCACCACCGAGGAAGTAACGACTTCAATACCAGCCAAAATAAAAACATACATATACTTGTGAGTTGCATCCAGGAGTTTGCCTGAAATAGAAAATTTATATCTTTAACAGCATATTCAATTAAACTTAGAATTGTTGCATTTTTAATAATTTTAGAAAGCTGAAGCGAGTACGTTTGGGAAAAACCTGTTAGATAATCTAATGACACAATTTTAGTGAAAAGGTTAATGGGAGGGAGAGGAATAAAGAAGCAATGGTGGCAGCATGAATCTAGCTTGTATATGCTTATATGTAATATACATGCAAATCATTGACTTAGAATTGAAATACCTCAACTTGCAACAATTTTCTTTAGGCTATATTGTAATATAAAACAGAACATCATAGAACAATGTTTTTGTGCTCTGTTTGGGAAAGGAAAAGTATTTCTTTAAATACTATGATGTAGCTTTCTCTCAAGTTCTTCATTTTCAATGCATTAAGACTGCTTATTTGAATAGGCTGCACACAAATTACATTTAGTTCACGCATTTTGACTTCTGCTCCTCGCTCTACTTTTGCTTCTGCTTAGTAGGTTTGAAGGTATTATTTTCCTTGGCCATGTAATTTAGAATAGAACAGAAGTTGTAGAGAGTTACTTCATTTGACCCCTCTAAATTGCCTATTTATTTCTAATTAGGAGATGGACCCACTACATCTTGCTACTCTTTTGTTCTCTTTTTTTTTTTCCTTTACTTTGAGGCTTGGATTGAAACAGTTCTCCATCTGTCTTGGTATTCCATCTCTAAGGTAAATTGAACTGTAAGCAGCTCAGAGTCATTGAGGGCAGCTATAGAAATTTAATAAATAGATGCTCCTGCTTTTGGCCTTCAATTATAATCTACATGCAAGAGAACAGAATAGCAAATTGACCTCTAATTCTCAGACAACACCAGGGAAACTAGAAAAGAGGGTAACAGCAACACAAACAAAACACACAGGGTGGGGGTTTCACAGTTCTTATTCCTTCCCTTAATTCATCTTTTTTTCTCTTTTCATAAAAATGGAACAATTAATCTTGTTAATTAACTAGAGTACTTACCTGCTGAAGGTGGGCCAACTAGGACAGCCATTGCCTCAGCCAAAAGAACTAAGCCAATGGCACTTGAAAACTTTTGTGTACCAACAATAGCCATGAGAACTTCAAACTGAAGAGCACCAACCATTCCATAGGAAATGCCAAAGAAGATGCAGAAGACCACCAGGCCACCATAATTGGAAGAAAGGGAGCCCATGAGATCAGTGAAGCCATTAAAAAACATAGCAAAACTGAAGAAATAGACACAACGGGGCCTAACCCAGTTCAAGCCAGCCAGTATTCCACAAAGAGGTCGAGCAAAAATGTCCACGCAGCCAAGAACTGTCAGAAGAAAAGCTGATTTGGTGTCCTCATACTTCAGGTCTTTAGCATAGCTTACTACAAAAACTGGAGGTACAAATAAGCCTAGCACCATAATGGATGCAGCCACTGTATAGATTACAAAGCCGGTATCTTTGAAAACACTGAAATCCAATAGCTTTTTTTTGCGTTCCTGAATTGGTTTCAAATTTTCCTGTTTTTTTGGACTTTCCAAAGGTCTCATCAGAGCTCCACAAACACAACAGTTCAAAAGCAATCCCCCCAAGATGAGAAATCCCCCTCGCCACCCATATTCATGCTGCAGTATCTGCCCGAGGGGGGAAAGTGCACAGAGGAACACAGGGCTTCCAGCTGCAGCTAACCCATTGGCCAAAGGCCGCTTTTTGTTAAAGTAGCGATTTAGCATGATAAGGGATGGCTGGAAATTAAGGGCCAGGCCCAATCCTGGAAGGAAAAAAAAAAAGGACACAATTTAAAACAGTAATCAAGTTCAGTGCTTGAAACAAGAGTAGAATATATTTAACTGTACAGAGGATGTAGATCCTCCCTCAGATATAAAAGAAGAAGAAATGTTACACTCGTTTATCCTTGTGGGCTGAATATACCATATTTTACGGCATATAAGACGACTTTCTAAAGCATGCAAATCGGTTCCGAAGTCAGGGTCGTCTTATACACCAAGTCGTCTTATATGCCGGAAATTACGGTAATTTCCGGCGTATAAGACGACTTTCTAGGCATGCAAATCGGCTCCGAAGTCGGGGATCGTCTTATACACCGAGTCGTCTAATACGCCGGAAAATACGGCATGTTGGCATTTAGGCAGAAAGAAATGTGGAGCTGCCAGTATTGAGCAAGGTTCTGACATTGGTCTCCAAGAATAAATGATTGGTTTTGGTTTTTGTGGAAATGGTAATGTAAGTTCCTTTGGTGTCTGTCTTAAAATAAACATTCTAATTTAGAAAAACAAAAACAAAAGACATCCCGCCTATGTATATGAAGAAAGAGAAACACTGTGCAGGCAGAGAAAAAGCTCCTGTGCATTTGCTTGAAGGAAGGAGGGAGGAGAGCAAGGCCTGAAGAATGGATGTCACCAAGGACTGCTTTGGAAGAGGGGGGGGAATAGGGAGGTTCTGTAGTAGGGGGAAACTGCTTCATATAAAAACATGTTATGATCACCATGATGTGCATGTAGGAACTCTGCTGCAAATAAGCCTCCCTGCACATTCAAAAGGAGAACATCAAAAGGAGAACATCAACAGATGGAAACTAATCAAGGAGAGAAGCAACCTAGAACTAAGGAGAAACTTCCTGACAGTTAGAACAATTAACCAGTGGAACAACCTGCCTCCAGAAGCGGTGAATGCTCCAACACTGGAACAGCCATTTGTCCGAAATTGTATAGGGTTTCCTGCCTGAGCAGGGGCTTGGATTAGATGACCTCCAAAGTCCCTTCCAACTTTATTATTATTATAAAGAGGAAGCTATGCAGCCTTTCTTTCCCTCTTACATGCCATCACTATACACAGTGCAGCCTTGCTAAATGGCTTGCCGATACATTAAAGACATTTGCTATTACTTACCCGTAATGACACCAGCAGATAGGTAGATCTGAATGATATTAGTGGAGAAGGAAGCAATGATCATCCCTGCTGAGGCAAACAGGCCTCCAGTCAGCATTACAGGGCGGCAGCCGAACCGATTGACACACATACTGCATAGGGGGCCTGAAGAAAATAAACAGGTGCTTAAATGCCTGTGATGTAACATGCCTAGAATAATGGTGGCATTTTGTATTGCTTCTCAAACCTTTCTCAGGCTTGGCAAGAATATCTCTGGGTTTACAATTGACGCCGGAGGATTCATTTGGAAAAGGTTCTTTTCCTCCCCCCCCCCCATTGATTCCATGCTGGAAAAAACCTATCCTCCATTCTAGTATATATACAGGGACCATATGTACTTCATTTCAGAAAGCTGTTCTTTTATATTTCTTTAATTATTTATTTTATTGGTTTTGCTCTTGAATTTTTCTTCGAAAAACAACATTTTAAACATAAAACATTTTTTAAAAATCCTTATGAGCCTCTTTCAGATCTGCCCCCTTAATTTTGTCAGCTTTGCCTTAATTTTTTTCCAAGAAAATGTAGACGCCATAAGTACCAGGGAATTCTCAACATTCGGCCAGAATTAGGACCAGGATTTCCATCGCTAAGCAAGGCAGATGTTTAATTGAGTTGCATGCAATTTTACAACCATTTTTGCCACAGTTCTTAAACAAATCACTGCAGTTGTTAAGTCAATCATGCAGTCAAATTTTGATTATATGATCAGGGATGTGCAATGGTGATAAGGACCGGTTGTAAATCAGTTCTTTCAATGCAGTTACAATTTCAAATAGTCACTGAATGTTTTTAAGTCAAGGACTACCTGTATGCAGCATCAGCAAACTTATATAGGTAATCCTCGATTTACAACAGTTCATTTAGTGACCGTTCAAAGTTATAACTGAAAAAAGTGATTTATGACCATTTTTTACACTTAACGACCGTTGCAGCATCCCCATGATCATGTGATTTACATTCAGCTGCTTGAAAACTGACTCACATGTATGACGATTGCAGTGTCCTAGGGTCATGGGATCACCTTTTGCAATCTTCTGACAAGCAAAGTCAAGGGGGAACAACTTAACAAATATGGCCAGAAAAGATATAAAATGGGGCAAAATTCACTTAACAAATTTCTCCTTAGCAATATAAATTCTGGGCTCAATTGTGGTCATAAATTGAGGACTACTTGTACCTTGCAAGTTTCTTTACAATCTACTATATAAATAGAGAATCAGATAATACATTCATAATTACCATATTAAAAGTATTGCTGATAATAGATCAGTTGCAATAAGATTAAATATATCTGTTTCTGAGGTTTCATTTGTTTCACATTTTCTATAATCTCTTCTGAATGGCAGTTGGTGAGGCCTTGTTAACTCATATCTTAATTGTTAACCTACCTAAAGTTTTCCAATGTTGGGCAATTTTTATTAGAATCATTACAATGATTTAGAGGTCAATACTTCCGTCAACAAAAAGAGCCGAGGTGGCGCAGCAGTTAGAGTGCAGTACTGCAGGCCACTTTAGCTGACTGTGTTCAGCAGGTCAGCGGTTCAAATCTCACCGGCTCAAGGTTGACTCAGCCTTCCATCCTTCCGGGGTAGGTAAAATGAGGACCCAGATTGTTGGGGGCAATGTAAATATATATTCATTGCTTACTGGTGTACACCGCTTAGAGAGTGCTTGCACTTAAAGCGGTATATAAGTCTCATAAATAAATAAATAAATAAATAAATAAATAAACAAACAAAATAATAAACAAAATGAGATGTGTCTGTGATTTCCTAGTTGCTTACCTGTTCCATAAAGCATAGCCAACAAAATAGAGGAAATCCATGCTGTGTCACTATATCCAACATCAAACTCTCGGATAAGTTCCTTGAAGAAGACACTCATGGCCTTCGGGAAGGCATAGGAAAATCCAGTGATGACAAAGCACCCAAAGAGTATAGCCCAGCCCCAGCCGCCATCTGGGGCTTTAACTCCAGATGGACCATCATCGATCGCCACAGCTCCCATGATGAGATTTTATGAGTTTCCTAAGACATAATTTGTAGAAATTAAAATTATGTAGTCCATCAGGAAAAAAGACAATATTACGCAGTTAAAACTATACTTTGTACAGTAAACTACATAAAAAGGATTTACCATAGAAAGCCAATTAGCTTTTTCTTAGCCAGAAGGCTCATAACTGTACATCTGTCCAGTTATCACACAGGCTTTTTTAAATCATATACATTTGTACAGCTTTGGTACAGGAAGCATTGTGCAGAAACAGGGAGACACATTCTGCACAAGATTTGCATGTCAAAAACCAGGAAATATGGATAAGACAACAAATGTTGCAAGAACTTTCTTTAAAAACAGAGACTGACACAGAATGTATCTAATTCATGATTCGCATTTTATTAGTTTTAAATATATATACAGTGGAACCTTGGTACTCATCTGCTTTGAAATTCATTGAATTTGGTTCCCAACGAATTTTGACAGGAAAATTTTGTCCCGGTATTCATTGTTTGTTTGGTACTCAACGCGCAAGATAGAACTTATCGTTGTCAGCTGCCTTGTGACTCACTATGTTATTCCTTATGGGAAAAATTTGTTTGGTACTCATCGCACCTCCTGGAACCAATTAATGATGAGTACCAAGATACCACTCTGTGTGTGTGTGTGTGTGTGTGTGTGTGTGTGTGTGTGTGTAGTGTAGTATATTTAACAGAGGTGTGTATATATGTGAGACAGATATTTCTCTGCTGATTAAAATTATTAGAAGCCCTAAATTTTAGTTAGATTAATTATTGGAAATCTGCAGCCTGAAAAGAGCCACTGGCTTATTGGTCACAGGTCCAAGCATCGGTTTCTAGAATCTCAAGTTTAAAGTACCAAATGAATAAGAGGGATCTTTGTTTCCTAGATCTGTGGTGGCGAACCTATGGCACTGGTGCCAGAGGTGGCACTCAGAGCCCTCTCTGTGGGCACGCGCACCATCGCCCCAGTCCTAGGCCTTCAGCTGGGTTTTATAAAAACCTTTTTGCTTTAGGCCTCCGCCACCGTGTGCAAAAAAAAAAAAAGGTTCAATCAGTCAATTTCAACTTCTCGCGGGAAACAAAAAAGATCTTGCAAAGTTGGAATTGATTGATTGAACCTTTTAGTCCCACCCAGTCTGCTGTTACCACTGCAGTCACGCCCACCCAATGGGCCACACCCACCCAATGGGCCACACCCACCCGGCAGCCAATGATGCATAAGTTTTGGGTTGCGGTTTGGACACTCGGTCTCTAAAAGGTTCGCCATCACTGTCCTAGGTCATTTACTTTCTTTTCTGGAACACAGAACAGACATTCTCAGTTCAAAGAATCATGCACTACATGGCTGGGGAGTATACCTGCCAGGAAGCGTGTTCATCCATTGTATAGAAGCTGCTAGTCAAGAAAGGATGCATGCAGCTTTTTACAAATATTTTGATTACCACCACATATATTGTTCCTATAGTTTGATTTTGGCAATCAATATTTTTTCCAAAAAAGAAACAAAGTCAGAAGTGGGGCCAACTTGCTGTCCAGACAGCTGAGAACTTAATATGTTATTATTCAGAGTCCTTTCTGTGACATTTAGGCTTCACCCTGAACCACTTAGAAAGAAAAATTTCACATTGAAGCTCCAGAAATAAATTTGGCAAAGCCTACTAAAGCTGATCTATTGCTGTACACTGCCCTTTCAAAAGAAAAACACTGATATACTTTTCCTACACCATCTCTGAAACCCCATTAAGTGATTCAGCAATAAGAAATGTACAGAAATGTGCCTAAATCACATAAAAGTGGGATGTGAAGCAAACATTGAAGCTCCTATTGGGATATAAAGAGCCTACCTGAGGGGTGTCAAACTCGCAACATCACATGATGTGTTGCAATGTATCATGACTTTTTATTCATTGCCGGCAATGGGGTGGGCGTGGTTTCAGCGTGATGCAACTGGCCCGTGGGCCGGCAGTTTGACAGCCCTGGCCCACCTGAAGAAAATGGTAACTGATTCAACATGGCCAAGACGCTTTGAGCTTCTATCTCTTGCAAAATACACAAACAGCAAGCCACTTTCAACAATCTGAAAATATTCATAAGCAGACATTCTATTTAATTTAGTATGTTTTTAATCTCATCTTTTTCTCCAGACAACTGAAGGTGCTGTACTCTTTTTCAGTGGAATTGGCAGACTGACAAAAACAGCATCCCAGCATTATGCTGCAAGCCAATCTCTTTTTCTACATTCACTGGAACATTTCCAAGGGGATGGACCTTATGGTGCAAGGCTGCTTTTATCAACCCAATGAAAGCAATGAGATCTTGTAATTGCTATTACTCATCCCAATAGAAGCCTTATCTCTGAGTGTGAATTTGAGCCTGGATTCCCATGTTCTTAGCTCCCATTTGAATCACTATCACAGTGGCTTTTTCACAATTATTTAAAATGGTAGAAATATCTGATAAAAAGAGGAGGAAGAGGAGGAGACTGTCCTTGTCCTGTGGAATAGCATTCCTTTGGAAGTCATATAGCTGCATTCCTGCTGGTTTTCAGAAAAGCTGCAGCAACCTAGCTGTTCCACCAAGCACCAAGGCAGAGTGATTTGTAACCCAGTTTGATTGTTCCCCAACAGTCTCAGGTATCTGTTTCGTATACTACATTTCTGTTTTTAATCTTAACTTACTTCTTATTTATTAGTGAGAATTGCTTCATCAATTGAGGAACTGACTGATGAATTAAATGAATACATAAATAATCACATTCTAACCAAAGTCCCCTTTCCCCTATAAAAGACCTCATATTTCTGTTAAGTACCTGGGAGTAATTTTCTTGCGTGAACAACTGATGCAGTACATCAGGGGTCTTCAAACTTGGCCCTTTTATGACTTGTGGACTTCAGCTCCCAGAATTCCTCGGCCAGCGTGCCTAAGGAATTCTGGGAGTTGAAGTCCACAAGTCATAAAAGGGCCAAGTTTGAAGACCCCTTACAGTACATCCTTCCTTTCATTCTGCAAGCTGTTAAGTTACTATGATGCATCTGGCCCAACGGCCAGTAGTTTGACACCCCTGTGTTAAGCAATATACAAAGAAGTCACCCCTTCCTGCAAAACTTGTCATTTCCTGAGTGCATTTCTAGGTTCTATGAATTCAAAGCTCTGAATTCACTTTGGTGTTTTTACCAACAAAGGTAATCTAAGTTCATCTCTTTACAACCCAACAGAATTTATTGCTCTCATCTAGCTACCATCTGCCTGCCAATTGGCAAAAGTAGGATAATTAAAGCTATCAAAAGGCTAGTAAAGGATTATATTTAGTCCCTTTTCATGCTATAAGGAGTTGAACAATGCTCTAATAAATAAGCAAACACCTATGCCAAGGGCGTCAAACTGCCGACCCACAGGCCAGATGCATCAGAAGGAAACTGCACCACCTCATTGACGGCAGTGGGGAAAAGCTCTGATAATTTATTAATACATTATTTTTTCTTATTTATTACTGCTGTATTTTAAACTATCTGTAAATTGCCTAAAATGCCTCTGGATTGAGGCAGGAATAAATTGCATAAATAAATAAATAATAAAATTGTTATTTCCAATAGTTGTAGCCTTAATATCTCTTTCAACATTAATCTAATAGGATTTAATCTTTACTGCAAAAATGAAATGATGGAAGTTAGCCCCCCCCAGAAGGAAATATTAAAAAGGGCAGAAAAATATATTTTTCCTCAAAAGGACTTTTTAAAACCAAACTTGGCCCCAAATCTATCTCTCTGCCCCAAGCAAGACTTTAGGCCCATACAAATGCAAATGTAAAACCATCAGAAAGTTGAAGCCAGAGCAATCAAGAAGACAAAAGAGAAGATCTGCATACCCCACCCAAACTCTAGGAGTCAGCCCCATCACCTGGGAAGCAGGATATGATAATAGAATTAAACCACAGATATCAAGGCCTAGACAAACACTCAGAAACAGCCTCAAGGTTCATGCCACAGGAACAGGAAACTATTCCAAACAAAAGGCTAGGGGGATTATAAAACCTACTGCCCATGTGCTCAATCTCTCTCTTCTCTCTCCTCTGCACTTTCCTGAAGAACCATCTTTCTGCAATAAACTGTAACCTTCTTCCCAAAGCAGTCACCATGTTTGCTTATTTATTCCCGGCTTGGATGAACCAGGATGAAGACTTTACTTCTATCAGAAAGTACTGACTGATACTGATAAGTTCCCCAGGGAAAGCTATGACTTCAACTGTCTCTTGGTCTACCTGATATTTCTAGACAGATCTACTGAGGACAAGTAAAAGCACTTTGTAAGTCATAAGTCATAGTGAACTTTATGAAAATACTCTCCCCCTTGTAAAAAAACATGTATTGCATTGGAGGGCCTCAGCTGTTTCTGTTCCCATGGGAACATATCCATCCAGGCAGAAAGCTGCTGTCAGCCAGCTGTTCATTCCTAATCTGCAGCCGTTGTACTTATGCCAATTCCAGAAGAAATGCCATTAGTAGATTGCACACAGAATACTTGATATTCATGATCAGATTAATTATCTACTTGTTATAAGATTCCTTTAAAAATCACATAAAATGTCATGACTTTGAAACTACCATGAATCTTATATATTGTACCACATGAAATGATTTAAGGCAGTTCCTTCATCCAGACATTCTGTCATCTGATTGTTTATTTCTCTGTCTATAAAAGGCCCAGCACTCTAGAAATCCCATGAAATTTAATTTAGATTTCTGTTGTTGTAAGATGATCTGCAGAGAAAGGCAGACCTTTACCTTTAAAATTGTAAGAGTTAAGTTGAAAGGGGGCATTTCCACCACTGTTCATGGGGTTCGATCTTCTTGGACATTGGTTCGATCTTCTTCACCAAAACCATTTTAATTTGCCCAATTTTTTCTTCAATCTCATGCCCATACTTGAGGTGGGATCTGACCTATGCAAAGTGAAGGGGAATTTTTATTTTCTACGATTTGGAAAGTTTCTGTTTGTACAGTTTAAAATTGCACTTACCTTTTTTACAGACACATTACACTGTTGATTAATATTCAGACTTTACTATACAATGCAATGCAATGTTTCTCTTGGACTACCTGTTTACAGCTGACCGATGAAGAGAAGTAAACAGATTTACCATAGAGCGCATCCCTCAGGCACAGTCTTGGTGCTACAAAAGTGGGATTCCAGTAAAAAAGATTTCCACTGTTCACTTCTCCATGCATACAATATTTCAGTCTATTTAATTTAAATCGTTGAATGGGGGCAGACCCACAATTTATATAAGGCTACTTGATGAGTACCTGAAATTGAAGGTGATGACAGGTGCTAACTGCAAAAAGCATATTGCATCACTTTGGGACAAGTTTCATCAATTTCTAGCTTATTCTAGGGCTCAGTGCAAAATACTAGTTGTAACTCAGGAATTCTCTAATCAGATTCTAAGCTCACCTTTCTCCTCTATCTGTGCACATAAATATGTTCTTGCATCTAAAACAGACATGTCAAACACAAGGCCCAGGGGGCCAGATGCGGCCCGCGAAGTGGTTTCATGTGGCCCACGAAGCCATCCTGGAAACAGTGAGGGAATGGCCCCCTCTGCCTTGGCCCTGGCCCAGACCAGCTGGGAGCCAATATACAATTTTCTGGTGGCCATCTATGCTGAAACGCATTCAGTCTTAGCTCCATAAGCCCCGCCCCAGGGCCTGAGAGGAACAGTGAGGCTCCTCCAATAGACCATGCCTTGGCACTTGTCCTGGTCCCACCCCCTTCTGCCAGAGACCCTCAGATATCCTACTCCTGCCCAGGCCCCCACAGGCACCCTTGACAGGAATGATGTAGAGTTGGCCACACCCACCCAGTAGGCCACATCCACTCCACCCAAGCCCACCCCCCCGGCCCACTGAGGGCAACTGCAATGCTGATGCGGCCCTCAACGAAATTGAGTTTGACACCCCTGATCTAAAACCTTGGATCATTTGTAAGACCCCCAACTTTAGAGGTGAGGCAAGTGCAAGAGGGTCTTTTCAATGGTAAAGAATACTTCATAGAATTTTTTTCTCCAATCAATTTTCTCAGGTAAAATTCATCACATTTTCCTGAAAAGCATTCATGTCTTTTAATGTCAGAGCTGGATGTTTGATTATATGTTTTTGCTTGATTTTGTTTGTTCTATGGTTAACTGCATTTTTAAGTGATAGACAAGGACATGCTCCCTTCTTAGCCACTATCAAAAACAGTTCCAGGGTGATTACAGTAATATCTGTAAGGTTTTGCCACCCATTAGGGCAAATCAGGTGGAAATGGATGGAAATCAATGCCTGGTAGCGACTAGAAACAAGATTCCTCTAGCTATTTACCTGTACCATCCCCCAGCTATCCCTGCTGTGTTACTTATTCATCTGGGCTGTCGCTAGATCCGTGCATTGGTGATTGAATAACATTTATAAATCTAGTGAGGAAAGGAAGCCAGGGCAAGGCAGGCATTGGCCAATGGAGATGAAAATATCATGCTAAGATAGTTTCTTGCTATCTGAAGGATGGATGGATGAAGCATTATGCTATTGTTGCCACAACATCTCCAGGGCGTGAAATAGAACTGACTCTGGCTCGGGCTGCCTCATTTGTTGCTATGATTTTGTGCACCGATACATTTGGTGACTGGCCAGATCACCTATTTTTGGCTTTAAGAAAGGGCCAAGCCACTTGTGCAGCATTTCCCTGAGCCCAGAGTCCCCCCTTCAAACGCACAGCCATAACAAAAGGGAGGGACATTGGCTGCCACAAAAAAGGGCTCTGTTCTGGACCCAGTGCTCTTCAACATCTTCATCAATGATTTGGATGAGGGGATAGATGGGGAACTCATCAAATTCTCAGGAATAGCCAACACTCCAAAAGATAGACTTAAGATACAGAAGGATCTTGACAAACTTGAACATTGGGCGCTATCTAACAAAATGAAATTCAATGGTGAAAAAAGTAAGGCAAGAAAATTTCTACACTTAGGCAAGAAAAACCAAATGCACAGGTACAGTAGGTGGTATCTTGCTCAGTAGTAGTAACTGTGAGAGGGATCTCTGAGTCCTAGTAGACAATCCCTTAAATATGAGCCAGCAGTGTGCTGCAACTGCCAAAAATGTCAACACAGTTCTAGGCTGCATTAACAGAGGGATAGAATCAAGATCACATAGTGTTAATACTATTTTACAATGCCTTGGTAAGGCCACACTTGGAATACTGCATCCAGTTTTGTTCACCACAATGTAAAAAAGATGTTGAGACTCTAGAAAGAGTACAGAGAAGCGCAATAAAGATGATTAAGGGACTGGAGGTTAAAACAAATAAGAAACGGTTGCTGGAATTTGTTATGTCTAGTAGTTTAATGAAGAGAAGGACGAGGGGTGACCTGATAGCAGTGTTCCAATATCTCAGGGGTTGCCATAAAGAAGAGGGAGTCAAGCTATTCTCCAAAGCCCCTGAAGGCAGGACAAGAAGCAGTGGATGGAAACCAATCAAAGAGGGAAGCAGAACTAAGGTGAAATTTCCTGACAGTTACAACAATTAACCAGTGGAACAACCTGCCTCCAGAAGATGTGGATACTCCAACGCTGGAAGTTTTTAAGAAGAGACTGGTCAGCCATTTGTCTGAAATGGTATAGGGTTTCCTGTCTGAGCAGGGGGTGGGACTAGAAGACCTCCTAGGTCCCTTCCAATATTATTATTGTTGTTGTTGTTGTTGTTGTTGTTGTTGTTAATTATAATGATGAGCTGTCTTAATTCCGGAGAAAATACACGCGCTCGCCTCGCGCTGGAGCCAGGGAATCCTTTAGAGGTAGGCAACCTTGTGTGGCTCAGGAATTCTGGGAGTTGAAGTCCACGAGTCATAAAGGAGCCAAGGTTGCCTACCCCTGCTTTAGGCTTATAGCGGAGACAAAGAAAGGCGAACTGGGGTCCACCCTCTCCTGGCCAAGCTCCGCCTTAAGGGCAAGCAAGAGCAAATGTAGTAACCCTTTGCAGGCGAAAACTCCAAACCCCAACTCTACAAGCGTTAGCCCATTGAGGGCGGAAACTAGCTGGAAAAGATGCGGGAAGAGTAACATTTGAGCCGGATTGGGGAAGTTACGTTTCAAGAAACAAGGAAGCAAAATAAATAAAAGCCACTGACTGCAGCCATCGTTTGCAGGGGTATGGTATTTTAGAGCCCCGTCTTCAGGACGCCCTCCCTGCACTCCGAAATTTACAAGAAAGGGGTGTCCCGCTCTCTCGATCTCCCTCAAGTATCTCCGGAGAGCAGTTAAGAAACGGAACTAAAGAGACCCTTCACAGAACTTCGTCCGGCTGCCAATGAATGAAAGAAGCTGCTGTTTCTTGCAAACGCCCTACTACTCCAATAGGCAGACTCGCGCCTTTGGTCATATCTAGCTGACGGTTCAGCCAACCGCTGTAGAGGCATTATTATTACTCCCCTTTGAACTTAGCAAGTGCTCCGGTTGTAACGAGAGAGGAAACCACTGTAACAAAAGTTACTCCACGGCCACGAGGGAGTTAGAAGCTAAACTCGCCCCTGAAGAGGAGGGGAGGGTCAGTTCGCCTGGGCGGAAGGCCTTTTGTAAAGGACGCTGCCTAGGAGTGTCCCAAATCCGAAGTTCAGAACCCTTCTAACTGGAAATGCGCCCGCCTCGTACAATCGGCGGCTATCCCATAATTTCACTTGCCTTTCTATAAGAAGATCCCAGAGGAAAGTCAGAAATGATCAAGATTTCTGACTTTCCTCTGTTTAAAAGTAACGAGATAGCTTCCCCAATCTAAATGATACTGCTAGAATTAAGAAAATTCAAGAGAAATGAGAGATGCTTGAGTAGAAGGGCTGGAAAAGAAACTTTTAAGCTCAGGTTTCTTTCATTGTAAAATTTAAATAATTTTTTGCACCAGGTTTGTATTTACAACCTAGTGACAAAAAAACAAGAGACCCAGTTAGCCTCAAATCTGCCTAGCTCTGTCAAGAGACATAACAAAAAAAAAAAATCACATTTTCTATGTATATTATTTGCATATAAAATCTACCTGTGCTAGAAAAAACTTTTCATATATTGTTTTCCTATCATAAAACACACTACAATCTTAAAAACATTCTTGGTATGCTTTCTTCACATACAAATACTACTTTGTAGGCAGAAAACCTATAACGTATAAATGAAAAGGGGTCCCTATTTAATCACAATCAGAGACTAGAAATTGTTGCACCATTCAGAACGGTCACCAATACAGGTTATTCCAAAATGTTCATACAACTCTGTCCTACTTTATATGCACATTTAAGTAACCATTTGTATAATCATTTAAGTTACCTTTTTCCTCAAAGAGCAGGCTCCAAAAGTTTGTTTATGCTTCTAACAGTTACCTTAGAAATCAAGAAAGGAACAATAGGGATGAATGAGGCATACAGTCAATGTTGACTCAGTTTTGGGTGTTTCAGGGGTGTGCTTGACCCTGTCACCCTATGTACTTTATCCATAAATCACAAGAACTGTGCAGACATAGTCTTTCCAAAGATGGAAATACTCTTTGCCTATTTGTTCTGTACAGTAGTTGCAATATGCAAATATGTTCCTCAACAGAAACAATTTATCTTCCTCTTCCTGCTTATAAGTACTCTTGGAAACAAAGACTTACACTTTTTAATGTTTGAATAGCATACTATAATGTTGCAAATTATAGCACTTATGTAGAATTCTATTCAATACTACATGGAATTCACAGGTTATAATTATTACTTCTTTACGTAGTATAAATTAAAAATTCAAGAAAGAAAATTATCAGAAATATATTAAAAAGTGAAGACTCCCTCAAGCCAGGCACAATTTGTGGTCATTAAATGGACAATAGTAGTTTATTTGGCAATAAAACCATTTCAAGTCATGTGTGGCAGGCTTTTTCAAT